TATCATACAAAATACATAAAATCTGCGAAAAAAATCATCAAAAGTAAACTAAGCCCCATTTTATACAATAGTAGACCAAAAAAAAAACCTTCCCGGGAAACTTTCCCCTTTCCAAGTAAAAATGAACAATATTTTATATCGCATCTATATTTATCATCCGGTCTTCCTTCCGGGGGACGTTATCCACAGTATATAAAATTCTGTATGTTTTTATACTAATGTTAGAGCGACCAATGCGATTCCCTGATTTCTGTTGTAATTTTAAATGACCAGTGAAAATCCTATTAATATTCAGTTCTTCCCTGTAAATTTTACAGGACGCTCAGACGGACTTCGTCTGATCACCTATTTCCCATGAAATTAATTATATACATGTGTAAAGTATTCCGTATTTTTTAGAATCATAAAACATTTTTTATTCATGTACGCATTTGTCAACCAGCCTCAATGTTTTTAATTATTATATATATACATAATATGTATTGATTACAAAATGAAGTCTTAGTCACGTTTAGGACGTATTTAATCGAGTCATATTTCGTGATGATAATCTAAGCAGTACTTATGGCATTAATCAATGAATGAACAATTATATTTTGTTATATGACACTTTACGAGGATGAGTGTTTGAAATTGTTTTTGTCCAATAGGATTGCAGCCGCGCGACCAATTTAATTTTGTAAATACGTACCAATGAACTTTAACCGGCTTAGTGTTTTAAATTATTTTTATAAACATTCGATTTACCAGACTGATGAACAGTTTGCCGATTACTTAAGTAAATGTGTAACGATTCATTTGAAATATTGCAATCCTATTGGACGAGAAATAATTTCAAACACTAAAACACTTTAACCTTTACAAAAAATTACTTCGAAAATAATTTACATGTTTGTCAATTATCATTTCTGATTACATCTAATGTTTACTTTGTCTTCATACATGTCTATATTCTCACGTGCTTTACATGACTGGGTCCGTCTGACAAGATAAGACCTCTGCACGTGCAACAGAAGACCCCATAACGGATCTCCTTTTGTTTGTTTAAACTTTTTTGTCTGTTTGATTGGGTTTTACGTCACACCGACACAGTATAGGCCATATAGTGACGTTCAAGCTTTCCCGGTGAAGGAAAACCTCAGGTGCTCTCCGTGCATTATTTCAGGCACGAAAGATCACCTAAGTAGAACCACCGACGTTCCATTAGCTATCTAGATAGCTTCCTCGCATGAAAGAATCCAAAATCCCTGTCGGGATTCCAACCCACAGCGGTGAGGACAAGTGGTTTAAAGTCAACGGCCTTTACCACTTGGCCTAGGACGCCCCTTTTCGTTGAAACAGGTCTATCGGAAAAATATATAACTGTCACAAACAATAGAGGAGGTGTGTAATTATAATTCGTCCTGTCCCTTCCTGTGCTTTTCATTCAATTACTATTAAGGGATTTTAACATTTATGCTCCACTTATCTGTATATTTTGGCATTGTGCACAATATATATTATGTAAAATTATTAAGCTAAGCTTTTAAGTGGTAAATATGGCAGTTTCCAAATATAGGGAATTCTCCTTTGTACGTCTACCATGATCTGTCGATGTTCCAGCACCTTGTGACCCGCAAACAATGCATGTAAGGCTATTCTACATGTTCAGTAAAATATAATCGTCCCTTTAGGTATATTTTGGCTTTTGGCCAATATTCCCACGTTTACATCGTCGACCGAAATGATATCTTGTCATAGGCATGGTGTAAGTTGAAAAAGGGCGGAGTGAACTACAAGCCGGTTACAAATAGGAAATAGATACCAATTCTGAATGCATTGTTGTAGAATAATGTATCCTTTGTAACGTTTATGGCAGGTTGCTGGTTGTATATTGACAGTGACAAATACCTAAATAACTTCTCCTTACTATGAAATATTTTGTTTTATTTTGGCGATCATACAAAACTTTATTGGTTTCGCATGCACTTCATTATTCGAAAACAAAGAACAACATACAACACATATTTAAAACAAACCGGCTACAACCTACGTCATTTGTCGCGTTCCTCGGTCATTATTCCGTATCGTACCATTTCACCTCGCTTTCAAAGTATCGCACTTTTATATGTTCTACCTGCTGTTAATGCGCGTTACTATACTCATTCATATCGGCGAAAAACACCTTATACTAAAATACGGTAACCAAGACACTTTTTTTCTCACAGAATCTCGAATGCAAAAAAAAAATGGGAATATTTATGAGAGTTAGTAAATAATGCCTTCGCAGCCGTATAAGCTTATTGATCTCTTTTAATTTGATGAACAAGTATTTCAAAATATATATCAGTCCTTTTTTCTTTTCGAAATGAACATCCCCCCTCCCATTAATTTGCACAATTCAGCGGTACTTTTGCAAAATTCCTGCATTTTTTTTCAACATTCTTGCGTTCCGTTTACGGTGATTATTATGTATTACCTAATATTTTGTGTTCCACGACTCAACACATTTTCTTTTGTACGGAGAACAATAAAACATTGTCGCAAAATACTTCCGTAGGCATAATAGATATACATATAGGAGATATGCTCTGGGCAATATCCGGACAATGTCTAGATATTTAATCATCTCTAGTGACCCTGACCTTGCAAATGTTTACCTCAATTACATGTGTCACACTTGTAGTCATGATTGTTATCATTTGTGTTACAATCCATCAATAAATGATGATTAAACAGACTGGTACACAAACTTTGACCTCTCTATGCTTCAATGCAGGCTTTATAATCAAATTTCAAAACATGTTCGAAATGTTTCATATTACATTTCTGTGATGTCATCTCAAGAAAAGTTGTTTTTAACTCGTCATCTACGAGGGGAAGTCAGAAAATATCCGGACTTTCGAATCGTTCTCGAAAACCATTCAGCATTTAAAAAAAATCTTTCTATAGTCTTTTTCAAAATATTCTCCATCTACGTCTACGTACGTTTGCTATCTTCGTGGGAGCTTTTGTATTCCCGCTGTGAACCATGACGTAGACCTATGTTTTAGGTACTGTGTACCAGCAGATATAAAAGCCACCCTGGTCTTATATTTCTTTCCAGCAAGCAATTTTTTTTTCAGTTCTGGAACAAATAAAAGTCACAGGGGGCATGGTCTGAGCTATAAGGAGGGTGAGACAACAATTGTCATTTGTAAGAGTTGATAACCTCCACTGTAGCTGCGGCAGTATGGGAGGGGGCGTTATCGTGAAGAAGGAGGACATTTTTCTGTGCTAACCTGGGACGCATTTGCTTCAGCTTTTCTCTGAGATTTTTCAGAATTACTTCAGAATAGTACTTTGCGGTGACAGTTTGACCTTTTGGCATGAATTGAGTAAGTATCATTCCTCGTGAATCCCAAAAGGCAACAAGCATGACTTTGCCAGCCGAAGGAGACAGCTTAAACTTTTTAGGAGGTGGGGAATCAGATCGTTTCCACTGCTTTGACTGAGCTTTTTGTCTCAGGTTCGGAATAATGAACCCACATCTCATCTCCAGTGATAATGAGTTCAAAAACTAATCTCCTCCACGATTAAAACGTCTTAAATGTTCTTTTGCATTGGTTACTCTGGTTGCCTTTTGATCTGCGGACAGCTGTCTAGGCACCCACCTGGCACTTACCTTGCTCATGCCTAGATGTTCGTGTACAATCTTGTGTGCCGATGCCTTACCGATGCTAAACTTGTTGACTACCTCCTCCAAAGTTACTCGACGATTTTTGTTGACAAAAGCTTTAACATTTGCAACCATTGTTAGGGTCCCAGCCTCAGTTCTAGGCATGTCACAAACACTTGTTCTGCCTTCACGAAACTGAGAAACCCAAATGTAGAAGGTTGAACGTGATACACATTTATCAGAAAATCTTTTTAAGACTCTGAAAGATGTGGCAAGGCTTTTCACCTTCTGCAACTAGACGAAACACCTATCATATATCAGAGGGCAAAATACTGTGTATACACAACTATCATTGAAAAAACTGACCACTTTACTGGCGAATGAATGTAGTTTTCACCAATATAGAATGTGTGTATATAGCTGCACGTGGAAAGAGAGGAGCATGAAAAGTCCGGATATTTTCTGACCGTCCCTCGTATACTTAAAATTAAGATTATACATACAAACAAAACTTTCATAGTATCGCTCTGCACATGGACAAGAATGTGATCGACAAAACTCAAAACTGTACAAAAAATTTGCAATAAAAGTTTATTGAAAATGACATGAAAGTTAACATGATAGACAAAACTACATGTTAATACAAATGACAAAAATAAAAAAAATGTGACTAATACATACTTTTCTATACTCAGTAAAAACTTTTCATCAGTTTAGACATGTAAGGTATACATTAAAATAGGTTAAGCTACAAATATTTATGATCTAAACATTAGTTACCGGTATTTGGTAAATTGTAAACTTCATTTCCTATATATTGACAAATCATTATTGTGTCTTTATTTTTATCACTTCATAAAAAATAAATGAGTAAACATAAACATTATTGGTCTATTTCTATAATAACTCTTAAGATATATTTCTTTAATTTTCATTATCAGGGCACACAAAATGGAACACTTATTTATTAAAATTAAACAATATTTTAACATTAAGTAGATCAGTCAAAATTATACGATGTTTATGGTTCATTTTTTTAATGTTAAAAAAAATATTACAAGACGTGGTTTGATTGCGTTTACAAATAATGACCTTGATTTTTTTATCATATTGTCTGATAAGGAGCCATTAAAGCAGTTTCGCGGGTACATAAAATTGTCATCCACCAGTAAAGCTGGAACGTCGCCATATGACCAATATTTTGTCGGCATGGCGTAAACCTATCAAACATACCATTGTTATAATCTTTAAATGTGTGATTCGAATATGAAAAAGACAAAGTCATAAAGTTCATATAAATTTGTGCAATGTGATATTTCTTTAACAATGACAAGCTCAAAATATAGATTTGAGATAAAAGTTTATCAAAAGAAGAACATTTGATGTATAATCTAAATTTATTGACTAAATTCTTGGTATCAAACAGTATTTTCAGTTTCGGTTTTTTTGTCGGAGGTTATACATTAATACGATAGGTAAGATTTTAGTGGGGTTTTTTTGTTTCTCTTTGTTGGGATTTTTTCTCATCTTTTGGTCTCTGTATCTAGATATATTTTTGAAATACTAATTGAAATAAGATATCTCAATTGAATAAGCATATTAAAACAACAAAGCATTGTTAAACAAGGACATGACAAATAAAAAGGAATAATTCACCATAATAAAAAATATCATTATATGTTTTGATAAGTTTTAATCATTATCTTGTAGACAATGGATGGAAAACTCAACTTGAAGCAAAAAACTTCGATTATTAGATTCATTGGCAGTGGTGCTAAAGATTTTCATCTATTGTATAGCTTCACTCGTGACGGGGCTAAGGCTACAACATTCCATCAAAAGTGTGACAACAAAGGTCCAACTGTTACGGTCATTTACAACACAAAGGATTCTATATATGGGGGATACGTTGAGAAAAGTTGGACCTCAGACAGTACTGGAGCCTACGTAAAAGACGATTTGGCATTTTTGTTCCGCTTAGAGTCAAATGGCAAAGTTGCTTTGAATAAGTTCCCTGTAAAAGCATCAGATCAGGCCTTTTACTGCATTGACACTCATGGCCCAGTATTTGGATCAGGGCATGATTTAGATGTATTCAGCGACACCCTTACCGCTCAAGGAAATCAGTTCAGTCTAAACGGAGTCATGAAGATGGGAACCACCTATGACATGGGTGGAGTTGCAGTCGACAAAGTAACGGATAATGTCAACACTGTATTTGACGTTGAAGTGTACAGCTTATCAGGTATTTAATCACAAACTTCATTTATTTACATAAAGAACATAACATCAATATCACAAGCAATTAACAAAAAATGAAACGAATCTTATATAGACTGTTTTGCATTGGATTCTTTTATACTCATTATTCGTAATTGAAATAAATGTTGTGCTTAATAATTAGTAAGAATATTTCAAAATATTGCTGAAATAGACATAGCAAAATACAAAAATGTCTATGTTGTCATTTTTTAAAGTTGTTTATACATGTCATTTTAAATTGAATTTGTATTTTCTTTATATTTTAGAGTCACCATTGGTAAGTGTTTGGAGAGCATCGACTGGCTGGGAATCGGAGGTGAGTGTACAAACTTTGAGGTTCACCCTTACGTGCTTTTTACGGTTATCTTTCTATATTCTTTTTTATATTTGCAAGTTTTGATCTTCGAATTTTTTTGCAAAGTATGAAACATTTCCTTTCGTAGGATTTGATGTTACTGAAAAGATACGCGGAATCATATACGCCTCCACATGGTCTTGACATTGAAACGGCTAACATATTAGTAATAGGACCAGTGGGCGCTGGTAAATCAAGCTTTTTCAATACTGTAGCGTCTGTATTCCGTGGCCATATCTCAGACCAAGCTGTTTGTGGAAGTGCAGAGAAAAGTATTACGTCAAAGGTAAACATAAAGAAAATACCAACGGTATATTTATTGGGAGAAACATGGACTTCAAATAGATTTCTGTTTTAAACAGTAAGTAAACTATTAGACAGCAATTGTTCTAACATTTATACCTGAACTGAATCACCAATAGAAATACAGAAATACAGAAATATGGAATGACATTCTAGTATGCAAACGTTTTTCACTTTTATTCACGACATACATATTATCTATCCGTGACTGACTTTGTTATTTATATTTTGATTGTCTTTTATTTGTCTATCACCAATGAAAATTTTACACCGTCGTATACTAATGAAACTAGTTATGTTAAATAGGTTCTCATATTGTAGTATCGCATGTATCGTGTCAGAAGTTCTCAAAAGCAAAAGCCATTGAAATTTTGCCTCTGCGACACAATGGGTTTAGAGGACAGCCAAGGAATAGATGCTCAAGAGCTGGGAAACGTATTGGATGGTCACGTTTCAGATGGATATCAGGTATTAGCTAAGTAGAAAACTTCAGTTTAATCTATTGTCGGATTTACACAGTCTCCCCGTACATTTAATCAAAGATGTTATATTTTCGATTCTTGAAGATCGTTCAGCACGACATATTTGTTGTTTTTACATGTTATGTGGTATTTAAATTTCTTCTATTTGGCCTTTTTCAACATGGCTGGTTCCAGTATTCCTACTGAATACTGTCTAATCACCCTTAGGATATGTTGCCTGCTTTTTAAATTGTCTTTTGACGTCTTATCTGAGATATGCAGGCTTCATAACCTCAGTTCCCCTTCAAAATTCCATTTTATTTAGTTCCGCCCATTGTTTACTCGTTTAGGGCACACGCATTTTGTCAATTGGGGACCATACGCCGCTTTTCATGGAATGGCACTACTGTGTCACATTGAAGGTTTCATGATAACCGCCGTATGAACACATCTGCGGATGTTTCTAAATTCAAACTTTCACCATTTTACGTGTTTAAATGTTGAATTCTGCTTAAGCCGGTACTAGGGGGCGTGGACGGTAACTTGCACTTTCATTTACCGTCCATGAACAGGCTCAATCAAACCGAGCGTACAACAATTACAATTTTGCCGTGTTGGGCTTTCTTTAGGGATTCTGTTTTTCTCTATTTTACACAGTCACCATTATTTATTATTATTGTCCTTGCACGTATTAAAGCAATATATGATTTCATTCATAATAGTAATGTATCATAAGTAATCAAAGGGGAAAATGTCTTTTAAATATGAAAAAATTTAAATAAAGTATTAATTGACAATCATTTTGTATACTTGTATGTTCATTTTAACCCAACGACACCAATACTAATAAAATCCATTTTTTTGTAAAGTCTCCAAGTTTGGAAGAAATTCATGTGTGTGTTTTGTGTTTAAAGGCCAACGACCTTTTGTCAGAAAAAAATGTTGAAAAATTTTTAAAAAAGCAGCAGGCAACATTAGGAGAAAGTATTTCTTTTTTTGTTTGTTTTTTTTTTGTTGTGTTGTGTTTTTAAATTTAATTTGAAAATCACAATGAATAAATAACAAAAAAGTTATTCAACTCGCTCATCAATTCGCAATAACTTTTACAAACATATTGTTGTTAACATTTAAATAAAAAGCAACCCTACGGCCACAATACTTTGGTTAGCAGTATTGTGTAAAATTTCACATTTATCCAAACAACCTGATGCTTGTGCTTGAAAAGAAAATTAAATCAAAAGGCATCTGCCGCTTTAGACATTCACCTGTCCATAACTTGCACTCTTAGTCTTGTAAGTTTGCGCATTGTAATTATTTATTTTTTTGACAAAAGTCGCACTTAAATCCTTTTAGGGCTTCCCCAGGCTATTGTGCTTACAAAGATTGACAACGTTTGTTCCTATGTCGAAGAAGATATAACGAAGGTCTACCAGAGTGAAACCATTAAAAACCTGGTCGACAAAGTATCTAACATATTTGGTGTTCCTCGAAGTTTCATTCTTCCACTGAAGAATTACGAAAAAGAGATAGATGTGGACACACACGTGAGCATTTTAGCAATGCATACACTGAAAAGGCTTTTATTGTCTACAGAGAATCATCTCTTTAACTTCCTAGATACACTCGATGTCAAGCAACAAGAAGTTGAAGGCCGACATGGCAAATAATATAAAGTTTACCTATTACTGTAACAATTGATTTGTTACGACCGAGACATTGTTGAAAAATTGTGACATTTATTAACTGGATTTTAACCATGAAATGGAGAAAACTCGGAACATTTTCAGTGAAGCTTACAAACAAAACACGACAGAATGTATGATATGCTCAGTGTAAAGATATTTTTCTTATATCTTTATTTGACAATGTTTGACCGACAAAACAAAATAAAGCGGTAAATGGGGCAAGGAATTTGGCTGGACTGAGAAATTTATTTCAAACCAGCTGACCACCTACCAGACAAAAACGTTGCCATTAGATTTGTTGTAGTTAATTTGTAAATAAAATAGGTATAGTGATTTGAGATAAGAAACATTCTTTTGCATCCTCTGTATGGATATGCTTTTGTTGCTGTTGTTTTTTGTTTGTTCTTCTTCTATCTTATCCCCCCCCCTTTGTCTCTCTCGCTCTCTGTAGATAGAAGAGTACCCGTCAATAAAAGTTGGTCTTTCATCAAGGAAAGGACACGATTAATTTATAATTAGAGCACAGTTATCAAACTTTAAAGATTTTGATATCTAGATATTTTCAAAATATAAAGCTAAAATAATAGTTTGTTAATCGATAGTCGTTTATTACATTATGTGCAAGTTTCATAAATTTCGACTGCAAGCTGATTAAACATGACGAAAGCCTGAAAACCCACGAATACGTGCTCTATCAGAAATAACCCAAGCCCATACAAAATTATACAAAAGTACGTCTTTTGTGAGTGTTACGAATGAGATGAAAAGAATAAAAACATGTTTTTTTTCGACGTTATGAATATTTTACAAATAGTTAATTGAAAGATTCCCCTTGTTTTTAAAGGCATTTTACGGCCAAAGAATTTATCAAACTAAAAAATTTAAAGGACATTGTCCTGTAAAGTAAAGGGTTGAGATCTAGTTTCTATTGAATGCATAGAAATTTGGTGTACCAGAATCGAAAGATATTATAAATATGACATTGGATCGCTCATCTGGGGATACTTTGCTAGAACAGGTTATCATCTTTTAATGCAGAGAAGCAATAATGCTTTTCTCCCAAACAGATTATATATATATATATATATATATATATATATAGGTTGTTAAGACATGTTTCACTGTTAATTATTTTCCAGAGCTATAGACACTAATGCAATTCTTAAAACAATCCAGGCTTAACCCTACATATTTATAGTTCAAAAACGCAGGCTGCGTGAACGAAAAGTGTTGATGCGAGCTGCAGGTACATACTGAATGGATCTCCTTTCCCTTTTACTGGGGATACAGGGACCTCTCCAAGAAAACGAAATGGTAAAACTGTGCGTTCTGGTACAAAATACCAAGGAATGAAATATTGTGTGAATACACAAATATTCAAAATAAAATACGCCTTGCATGCTTTGGTTGTCAGGATTTAAAAAAAAATTGGAGAATGTTTAACTCTTTTCATATTTACATAGCTTAAATGTAAATACACATTTGCAAACAAATCAGCTCTAATCAACTATGTGATTGAGATATTTCAAGCACTTGAATCTGGTGTAAATCTGTAATGTATTAAAATGCAAAAGAGATGCATAAAAACCAATCTAAATATTACTTTACAAGATAGACATGTATTTTAGTAGGTTTAAGTTTTTACTTTTATTCCCACACTCTAATTGATGTGACTTTTTAAATGTACAAACAATGTAATTTACCAATTATGTGACTCTCGTAGATTTTACTTGAAGGGATGTCGTTCGGTGCTACCTTCTCCTTATTAAATCCACTTCAGTCAAAGATAATTATGTTTCCTATAATAATTAACACATGGAGATAAAATACAGAACGATTGAAAATCAAAGCACAGAAGGCGCTGAATTTGTTTGGGTCTCAGAATGTCAGAAAGGTGAAGGTTGTGAGATTATAAACCAATTTGTTTTTGTATGGTGCCACCAATGTTTCCAGCGTTTTAATTGTAGAAAATTGACTATAAGACTTATTGCAACACTGATATTCCATTAAATGTTTATTTGACTTAAACAATTTGAAAACAAATGAGTTGCCTTAACTGGGACTTGAACTCCAGACGAATCGGTCGGAAGAAAACAATATTATTCTAAATTAGCGGTTTGTAACCTTATTATTTCGACGCTAACTGTTGTTTAACACAGATGTAAATAATCATGGAGCTTACTATAAGCATGTATATCTATAAAGAATAAAACAATATTAGAAATCTTCGACCGTTCGGGAACTTTTTTGCTTAAAAATTAATGCGCCTGACATTTGACTATCTTTACGCAGTAATCTCCCCTGAATTTTTCGGCGTTAGTGTACATATAAAGGGAAGTAACCGCTTCAGAAAAGCGGACTACTTTCGGCATTTGCAATTAACAGCATCAGGGTCTGAAATTTCGCTACCATTATTTGTTTGGTATGACGACCCAAACAAATAAAAATCACGGTTCTATCGCCTCGCACTCGAAACAATAAGTATTTACCAAATTACTAATTACACAAAAAAGAAGTGGGCCAAACAACTGAATCAAACATGGTTTAAATTATCGTTTCGAAAAATGTTCACTGACGTTTACAAGTACTGATCATAGTTTTATCAAGTACGTTGTTTGCAATTCATAAACAGCGGTGTTTTGAAGGAAAAGTGCATGTGTCATGACACAAACATATTTATACAATATGTGGTATTGTCTTCAACATCCTCTGATGAATGAACCTTGCGAACATACACAAATGTTACGGAGTTGAATGCATTCATTGGGAAATAGATATCATGATAATGTAAATCAAGAATATTATTGACTAATCTATAAATAACGAATTCCAGCTCCTAATAATATTGGAAGTTAAACATTTTATTTTTATGACTATCAATGATCTTAAATGTTTATGTATATTTCACTACCCATTTATATGTTATGTTTTACATAAACAAATACCTTTCAAGTTTAAAAAATAGTTAAGTATTTGTTTGTGTAAAAATAACATTTCAAGATAGCAAAGACACTCCGACAAAGAACTTGAATGAGTGACTCAATTCTTGGTATCGAGGTGTGTATTTTCAGTTTCGATCATTTGTATTTGAAAGTTAAGTATTTGTATTTTCATCGCAAACTTCGTGAAGTTGTGCGTTCTTTGAGAATATTACTCAAAACGTACAAGATTATTTATTGATACGCCATTTTACGTTAACAAATTTCAGCCACTGTATAGCTAATGCGAAATCATTTCATCATAAAAAGTACTAGTATGACAACAATGGTTCTAGCTACGACTGCCGTTCACAACACGAAAGATTTGAAATAGGGGGGTAACTTGAGAAAAATAGGAACTCAGACAATACTGTCGCCTTATGTCTAATGGCAATGTTGCTTGAATATATACTTGAATGTTGCTTGAATATATACTTGAATAATTTTCCTATAAAAGCATCAGATAAGACCACTTGTTACATTGACACTTATTGCTAGGCCCTGATATAGACGTATACAGCGACAACCTTGCCGCGCCATGATATGGAAACTGCCTACAACATGAATGGAATTCCTGACGATAAGGTAACGAACCATGCGAATACTGCATTTGACGTTGTTCAAAGTGTAAAACCTTTCAATAATCTAAGAGCACAATTCATTGCACTTACATATAGTTTAGTTCCAAATTAGTTTGACGACGGTTTGGTCATAAAATCTATGAAATAGGTCTACACGTAAAGAGTTTTTTGTCATTTTGGCAAAGTTTGTTTATATATTTCAGTTTAATCCAACAACACCAATATCTAATGAAGGACAAGGCTTTGTCAAGTATCCAACTCTCAAAGGAGCCTATGGCAATCGATATAATAGTTTAACATATTGCAACAGACATGTTACATGTAAGACTGTACGTGTTATGACGCTTATGTTATAAAATTATGAAATTTTATTTTGCTTTGTATACAGAATGTAGTGTAAAAGAACTTTACAGAAATTGGCGTGGAGATCAGATGTTTACAAACTGGATTAATATTTGTTAAAACAGCATTATTTGCTAAGATCAGTTCCCGCTATCACTTCATTTGCATTTTCCTTGTGTTTTAAAGCATCAAAAACATGATTTACAAATGAGCATTCGTGACTTTAAAACAACAAGAAAAATAATTTTATAATGTAAATAGATATCAAATATCAAAATAACAGAGACAAGTTTATTACACTTTATTTTAACCACAAGCCTACTGTAAACATCATAGCATACTAAATCAATGTGGTCTAACTAAAGATGCAATTGTTGATGTGCTTCTTTTTTCTACATAAACAGAACATACTGCAAAATGGTTAACATTCGCCATCTGTTTTGATAAATTATAAGTCATTGGCAAGTATGCATGTACAACGATAACATTTATTTGAACAATACCATTATTTAATCAATGCCATTCCTCAAGGCTTGAAACACTCTAAACCTTATAGCAAAAGTAAAATGCTTGGCCCAATTTTGCTTTTTCAAATTGTGAAAATTAATGGTGAATTATTGTCCTCATTGTGTAAATTTGCCATTATTTCTTTGACATTAGCCTGTGTAGACGGGATGATGGTTTAATATAATTCTACAAAAGCAACTCAGTTCTATATATTAAATATCAAATGAGACTTGCAAGAACATCAGGATACCGAATGCACATTGTTGTCAACTATTTTAGCAGTTGATATCACTATTAAACGCTTTACAATATCAGTTGCTTGTAAATGAATAATGGATGAGTAAATATCAGAAGTTGAAAATATAACATTTATAGAGCAAATTATTACAGTATCATTAAAAACAGCAAAATGACATGAACATTCCAGACAAGCGGTACACAGTTCTCAATATTGATAAGTAGTATTGGTAATATTTGAAATCATATTAAATATTTTCACTTCAGAATCGCTAAGCGTGTTTATCTAAGCGCCACCCCTTTTACCTCGCAATACATATTGCTGATAATTCTATCAATCAACATACACAACATTTATAATAATTGCATTTTTTTATATTGGGTATTCATTTCATTTGTATAGAAATGTTTAATTATTATGTAGAAACTCATTCATTCCTTTTCAAATTTCTTGATCACATTGATTTCGAATGTTTTAATTTATGCAAAAGAATCTCTGAAAACAAAAAAAGAAGTAGTAAATGTGAAAATTATTCATTTTAACCATATCTACATGTTTTATAATTTACAGTACACAATGTTTCGGATAGCTTCTGTCTCAAAAGGAGTGTTTTGAATAGCAACACTGTCAAAGGTATTACTTGGCAGGACAATTCCTTTGTAGAAAGCCTTCAATGTAAGATAACGCTACATTATTCATGTCACATGTATATATTCCTTTGCCAGTTAGGAATGCCAAATCAACTATGCAACCAAGTTGCTTGAATTCCGATGAAGTCAGCATGCGGTCACTTGGCTGGTTAGGTAAAGCATGAATGTTCTTGTGGTGAAAGATCAACAACGCTGTGCATTCAGACCCTACAATAGAACAATAAAAGACCTTTGAAAACAAAGTAATCAAGTACATGTATTCAAGCATTCCAAATCACATATCTAGCATATCTTTCTCCGTTACCTTTATTTGCAACATTTCAATTCAGAGATGCTGACAAAAATCAGTAACTGAATACTTTGCAACTTAATATTTTCATGCTCTAGAGAAAGGAAAAGAGATAAATTAAATTGCATTAAGCAGCAAGTCTATTCTAAAAACATACAGATCAAAACGTATTTTCTATACTTACTTTGAACACCTTCAATTGCAGTACTAGCATCTGTACCCAGTCTTGAAGAGTTTATACACAACACAAGGATAGGCTTGTCAGGTTGTATGTTTGCAATGTTTTCACATCTGATAATTTCCAGGTGCATACCCTTCGTTTGCATCTGTGTGTCAAGCATACTAGATAGCTCGTTTACAACCAACGCCATCAAATCATCTTTTCGTTGGTAAAACAGTTGAACTGGAACTGAGAATTTCTTAAGAATGTATATGAACCTTCATACTCGACTCCTTGAAACCGTTATGATACTTTTTAACGAGGAGCTATACAAGCATTATACAGGCATAAGTAAAACACGTAACATTTGGGCGTTACAGTGTTATATAAGCGCATAAATGAAACAAGAATTGCCTTTACTACAGATTCAATGATTTATATAGTATGTTTGTATGGCTTTGATATATCGTTGAAAAGACTAATTTTAGGCTCGACAGATGATCGCATATTATAATTAAAATAAACTCGTTCAATAAATGTATTAAGAAAAGTCTACACTCATTCCATATCTCCAATTTCGTAAGACTAAACCATAAACTTAATGTTAAAACGCTACTTTTATATTGTTAATGAAAGAAAAATATATAATTATGTAGGTAAAGAAAAACTAGATGTATGATTTTAGAGAAATTTGAAAATAATGTTTCTGAAACAAAGTAGATTGTAAAATATCTTGTTTTAAGGCGTGATATCATGGCGCAAACAATATCATTCAAATTGAGAATAGTTAGGTTTATATTAATTCATGTTGTTTCTTTCTTAACACTTGTCCATTTTCTATGTTTACATTAAATTTAACAAAAATCACTGCATCTGACTTAGTTACATCAATGCGATGTGTTGTTAACAAAAAAATATCAAACCTCTTACCAATCTTTTTTCTTTCCCTGACTTTTCGTTTCTCTTCCTCGAGGTCATAAACCTGTCGCCTCAGTTGCTCTAAAGTCCGTTCTAGGAATCTTTTGTCATTTTCCGATCGATCAAGCTTTGACAGGAGGGAATCCATTGCATCAGTTTTGCGCTTAAGACTTAGTATTTCAGTATTCAGACGCTTATTGTCATTTTCTAATTTTATGTACTTCTTTTCCAATTCATATTTCTCATGTATAGCATGACGTGCCTCTTCCTTAAAATTCAGCAATGTATTAATTTCCAATTCAAGTTGTTTAACTTTGTCCTCCGATCTTTTTAACGACATTTGCAATTTATTGATATTTGAAGAAATAGCTTCGTTTTCCGCTTTTAACGATTTTATTTTTTCATCTTTATCAACATCTCTTGACGTTGCATCCTTCTTTAAACTTTCATTAGAGCTTGATCGTTTGGATGTATGCACGTGGCTGACCTGTTTTGATGCCGCTGGCATCTGACTTCCTGTGTTTCTGTTTTCTGTATTTCCAGGCGGCGATTCTGTTTCGTAGCTGTAGCGTTTTGAGATGTCTTCTATACATTTATCAAGTATAATAAAACTTCCACATAAAGCACCTACTTGATTGCTCAATGAAGTCTGGAAGTAAATGACATTATATTAACATTAGAACAATTGAAAAATAGAAGAATTCAACAAATAAATTGCAACGCAGCAAAAAGAAAATATTTTAATTACACATATTTTTCAATTCCAATTTTAGGTACTATTCAAATGATCAAATGAAATGATCTTAATTAAAAAGGCTATATAATAATTATTGTAAACTGCATTAAAACTGAGGGTAGTGGGTTCAGGGTGCAGCTTTGTCAACTTTTACTCATTTTTTCTATTTTTTAAAAAATATTTATATCACTTTAAGATCCTTTAAAGATTTTATTTTATTTCAATTAATATATAATTGTTATAAAAATATTTATTGACTAAGTCTGATACCAAGTAAACTATATGATATCTTCAGGTTGTTACGAATGTCCTTTCTAAAATTAGCCCTTTTTATGTCAGTTCAGAAAAAATTTCAAATGTCCATTGTTTGTAAATTCTGCATAAATTTTCTTAAAGGTATGAAACTCAACCATGTTGTGAATTTTCAGTTAAATATATAAAGTGCCCATTAAGGGTATACAGCCTTAAATTTTAGTGTACAAGTGAACTTAAGTTTCAAACCTGACACTAAGTTATATGATTATCATTCTGATCAAAAATGCAAATATCCATTATCATATAATTAAACAAAATAGAGAGAAATAAGAATCCCTAAAGAAAGCACAACGCCAAAATTGAAAATGTTGCAGGCTCGGTTTGATTAAGCCTGTTCATGGACGGTACTGTATAGTGCAAACTACCGTCCAAAACCTAAGATACGAAGTTGGACCCATTATTATAATCAAATTCAAAAGAAGGAAAAAAGTGAAGTACAAGGTATTTAAATATAAAAACATTGTCACAAGATACGCCCCTCACAGAAGCTTTAGGTGGAGATGTGGGCGATATGAATTGTGGCATTCCAAGCAAGTTGGCCCTATACATATTTTCATTTGAAATGCTACCTCCCTATATATAACCTTAACCTTGGTTGTAGTGACCTGCATTTAATATGTGACACTCAGGCTCACAATGATTAAAAAAGTTATATTAAAATCCCTCAATGCATATAGAAGTTTTGCTCCAGACAAGCTTTTTGTAAAGAGATCTAAGTTTGACAATGACCTTTAATCTAGAGATCTGGTTCATGCACAGGGCACTGCGTCTTATGGCGGTGAATACTTCTAACATTAAAATTCCTACATGCATGTATGAGATATGCTCCAGACAATATCTGGATATATTTCATCATATCTAGTGACCTTGCAAATATTAACCTAAATAACATGTATCACAGCTGTAGTCATCATAATGACCATTTGTGTTTCAATCCCTCAATCTATTATGACCTAATGGTTCCTATATACATCTCCACTTTTTATCTGACTTTTGATCTCTTTGTGAGACCTTAACCTTGGTTGCAGGATCTGAATTTAGAGCGCGACACTCCGCTTCGCAATAGTGAATATTTGTAACAAGTTATGACCTCTGAGTATGACCTTGACCTAGAGAACTTGTTCAGGTGTGCAACACGCCTTCTGATTGTGGTGAAGATTTCTATGAAGCCTCTTTGGACGGTAACGAGGCTTGCCGAGTTACCGCCCATGGGAGGGTTCCCAAGGGACGTATTTTAGAACTCATCTGGCATACGTGAAAACTAACGGAAACACCAATCTGATATGCAAGAAAACAATTTACTGTCACCAAGATGAAGCATACTGTGTTATTCAAACACCTTAAATCATAAATCAAATTTAAATCATCTGACTTTGACAATATTTCTGTATCGCGCTTTTTGGTCTCTTCTTTGAGTATACCGCGACTTTTTAAACTCATAAGTTTATACTAACTACCTGCGTGGAATTCAGAATAACCCCAGTTTTCTCCAACGTCCCGCTGACATTGCTTCCAGGGGTGTTCTGCAATTCTGAAAAGGACGAAAAAAACACAGTGTGTTTAGTGATATCATCGATACATTGATACATTTTGAGACAAGACAATACTTCAATTCTTAGGTCGGAAGTAATTCGTCATTATATATTTTGTCACTTTTAAAGGTGAAATCGTCATCCTAACCTTTTCCAAAGATAAATTTATTTCTATTCGCAAAACATGTATCGGTAGATACTTAATGTATTCACCAGGTTAAAAATCTTTGTTCTTAATTTCTGAAAATCTGATAATACTAAAAAGTGACAAGAGGGCCATGATGGCACTGAGTCGCTCACCAGAAACAACTGCTTTTCAATAAAAGATAAAAGATTACCTCAGAATTCTGAAGACAGGTTGGTGATTATCCATCAATAAGTTCTGTAGCAGCAGACGTTAAAAGTATTTCTGTTTTTAGCTTTAACGGCCCCTAAATTGGCCAATCAAATTAATATGAGCAAACTTGATAAAAGACTACCTAAGAATGCTACAGACAAAGTTTTGTGATCATCTTTCAATTATTTCAATAGGAGATGATTTTCAAAGATTTTTCAATTTTTAACTTTAGCCTAAAAGGGGCCAATCAAATTAATATGAGCAAACTTGATAAAGCACTACCTGAGAATGCTACAGACAAAGTTTGGTAATCATCCATCAATTAGTTCTGCTAAAGGTTTTTCTAATTTTAGCCCTAGAGACCCCTAAAAGGGGCCAATCAAACTAAATGAGCAAACTTGATCAATTATTTTATTTAGTAGTAGAATATGTTTAAAGGTTTTTCTATTTTTAGCTCTCTTGACCCCTAAGATGGGCCAATTGGGCCAACACTACCTAAGAATACTACAGACAAAACTTGGTGATCATTCATCAAATTTTCTGTAGAAGGAGACGTTTAAGGTATTTCTATTCTATTTTTTAGCTTTATCGGCCCCTAAGCTTTGATAAAAGGCTACCTAAGGATGCTACAGACAAAGTTTGGTAATCATCCATCAATAAGTTCTGCCAAAGATTTTTTTCTAATTTTAGCTCTAGAGACCCCTAAAAGGGGCCAATCAAATTAAAATGAGCAAATTTGATCAATTATTTTATTTAGTAGTAGAATATGTTTAAAGATTTTTCTATTTTTAGCTCTCTTGACCCCTAAGATGGGCCAATTGAAATGGCATGAGCAAATTTAGGTGTGACTGTCACAAAGATGCTACAGATCAAATTTGAGGTAAATCTGCTCATTAGTTTCAGAGAAGAAGATGATTGTTGATGCATGACGCCGGACCCCGGTGTATCCCCCTTTGATACTAATAGCTTATCCTGACCCTTCGGTTCTGGTGAGCTTAAAAGTGTTTTCTTTAATTTAATGGTATAACAATACACAAAAATAAAGATAATTATGATTTTTTTAAAAAGTGTATTGTTACATTTCAGTATAACTATACGTTCCAGATTGTGGCAATGTTAAGCTTTTGATAATAATTATTTTAGTGGAGAGCACATTGAGGTTATGGCAGAATAAATTCACTAGCATTTAAGTATATATATATAATAATATAATAAATTATCAAAAACAAGTACTTTACCAGCTAGTAACTGTGCTGAGGCATCTTGCGCTTTTACACTAGCTTCTATGCTATGTACATTACATTCATGATTATACATACAACTCTGAAAGTGTAATACAAAACCTGAATTATATCAAAATGTCATCCATTACTAAAGAGAAAAAAATGTCCCAGCAAAAACTGACGATCAATATATGGTAAGATAAATTACATATATTTTATAGTTTTAGTAATTAAATAAACAAATTAAATATAAAAAACACAATATAATGAGAATATATTCATGTAAACAGATCATCAAAGAACACAAATACAGTTACTTTAAACAACATAATTATATCAATATTTAAACTTGTCTATTGAACAATTTTACATTATAATACTGTAATATTATAATTCTACTTAAAACATAGCCTCAGTATACCTTTAATCTTTCAACGTCACTCTTAAGAACATGATCTGCTTCCTTTGCATAAGACCCTCCCATGTTTTCTAAATTAATTAAAAATTATTTTTCACATTAGCTCTACTCCGCAGTATTGTACGAAATTAAGCCGGAGCGAATCGATTTTACATAGATACATATTTTAGATTCTAAAGTAATTAAACATCTCTAAAGCACAGATCAATTGTGAATGCATCATTCAAATAAAAGTTAATTATAAATATGTTTTTAAAACTGCTAAAATCCAGAACTTACCTGTTTTATAACTTATTCTCCGTGTCTATTTTCGTTTTCGATTCTCCTTATCGGAAAACCCCCGGAAGTAGGAGTACGTAAAGATGTAGGTCAGGCTTTCACGGGTGTATCTAGACATGAAGCGTTCATAGTTTGAGGGGTGTTATTGTGTTACTGAACTGGATCGTGCAGCTTTTATATATTAGTTCATTTTGAACATGTACATAATATTCCTGCTTCTGGGCAATCTCTTAATTACGTTTAATTCGACATCGACTTGTATATATGAGGTACATAATGCTGGACTGAGAAATTAGTGTCGCGCTTCTCTAAAATACATCGAAGAATATAATTGTGCGAACATTTTAGATATTCTCGGATATCAGACGTGACATACAATTCAATAAGACCCCTTCCCTCTATAATGTGATTATACGTATATTTGAAATTCGGTTTGATAGAATTGATCTGATTAATCTGAAGAAAGATCATTAATTGAAAGCTTCCATTTCATGTAGATATGTAGTAATCTTATGATATTTTTAAAGCTACATGCCAATTGCCAGATTAGCCAAAAAATATCAAGGAAATGAGCCAGATGTATGGGTTAAATACTGGCTCATTTTCCATGTTATATAGTTTCTATTTGCATTCCCCATTCAGCTTTTGTGGCCGGGGCTACAGATATGGTGTGGTATTAGTTAATGTAAAATTTATTACTTTTATCAAAATTGGACTCACTTTCTAAGAGCAGATGAAGTACATGTACGAGGGATGTCCGGAAAATACGTAGACCTTTGTTACATCTCTGCCGTTTTTTTTTAATTATGTCAAAACAAACAAAACTGTCAGAATTTCTAGTTTTTCTACATCAAATATGTGTTGTTTATTTTAAACAAATAACTATTAATACATGTAAATGAAGAAATACACATACACCTATCATATGCTGGCGCATGGTGAACGTTAATGCTACGTCACAATAAATTGCAAAGCATTTTAAAATACTCGTTGTTGCACACCATGCAGCGTTGGTGGCGGTGGATCAAAATATTTTATAATATCAACCTCTGTAGCATGTCTGCGGAGCAACGCCCGTGACTTGTGTCGCCTGCGCTCGTTATCGTGATCAGTCAGGAGTCTGGTACCCATCTAGCGTGAATTCAAATACATGTATGTAATAAACATGAAGTTATAATCTTGTCAATAATTAATTTAAATCTGTAAGGCATAATATTATGTTAATTGCGTTTTTCAACCGATGAAAAAAGCTGTTTCTGTCATATGTTGAAATCCCGTAATGGCATATTTAAAATAATCTGGATGCATCAATTATAATAGTGTTCGATACATATTTTTTCCGACTATTATCAAATTAATTTTACGCAATTATTAATTAATAGACATCAACAAATTTCAAATTTCCCCGGGATACTGTTTCATTGGTAAATCTGAGGCGTGTGACACGGCCATCTGCAATCAAATTGATTAATAGAGTATAAGTTTAATAATGAATTTATCGAACGAGTTGAATAAAATAAAATTATATTATATTATTGAATGAGTTCAATACATTCAGTAATCAACTTACACGAACTTAATATTCTTTTTATCACATACCAAAAATATAGACCGTTTGAAGTGAAAAAGAACAATTTTTCATTGACGTATTTTTCATTGACGCGCCTATAGTGTACATATCGATGATGTATATATTGAAAACACAGAAGTGTATATAATGTTATTTATTCTTCTGTGTCCCGTTTGGATTTTAGTCTACGTATTTTCCATTAGGGATTCTTATCACTGTTAATAACTTTAATGATATACTATGCTCATTTGATATAAGAAAACATTGATAATTACAGTCACATTATAAATATAAAATAAATGTATTTTAAAGAACACACAAAGTAGACATGTTACGTTTAACATTCTACACATACTATGTGTCATTAAAAAACTAGCATTTTTTTTTCTTTTTAGAAAATACCAGCTTTACTTGACCTGTTATAGGGAAGGCAGCTTCCTTTGCATAGTTTATTTATTCTTCTATTCAAATAAGACATATTCAGTAAGAATTTCATAGATTTCAATAGATTTATGTGATTAACCAATTTTCTTCAAGGATGAGCATAGAACGAGGGGTGTCAAATAAGAATGCAACCGGGTCAATTTTCAGATTTTGAAGTGCTTAACAAACAGTGCCAAAATAATAATCTCAATCTTTCAAAATACTCACCACCATGTGATATACAAAGTTTTAGTCTTTTAATCCTTTTTTTTCAAACGCGTTTTCATAATTTGTTCGAGGTATATTGTTCAGACACTGGAAAATTGCCGAACCCAGATTTTTTCGCGCTTGATATTTTCTTCCAGCAAGGTGTTTCTTGAGCCTCTGAAATAGGAAAAAGTCACAAGAGGCAAGATCTGGCGAATAAGAAGAGTGAGGAAGCTCGACAACCTTTTCCTGTTTAAGATTTTCTCGTACAATGGCCGCTTTGTGTGACGAAGCATTGTACGTCATGCAACGGATACTAGTTGCTGGTCGACGTTTTTTGAAATATTTCTTTGATTTATGAAGGCTATTGCGTTTGTAAATTTACTTTTATTTAAATTTACATATTTACTCTTTAGTGCGGTAATTTGAATAGCAGGTGCTTGATTGGTAAAGAAAATTACATACATGACCTTTTTGACGCTCGTTATGCGTTTTGATATGCAAGGACTTCCTTTGGTTGCCTATATTTTGTTATGTCTCTTTCGTTTGGGCTCATAAAAGTGAACCAACGTCTCATTGCCAGTGATGATATTTGCGAAAGAGTGATTGTTGTATTTAGGGAACCGTTTCAACAATTTTTTGGAGATTCTTATCCAACAAGTTTTTTTCTCTTTTGTAATAAGGAGATGGGGTATCCATCTGGTACTTATCCTTCTCATTTTTGAAACACGTCTGATAATTGTATGAGCGGTTCCTACAGAGATACCAACGCATTTAGATATATACCTAGTTGTAAATCTTACATCAGTAGCAATTAAATCCTTTACTCTTTTAACCATTTTTGGCGAAGTTGCAGTTTTCGGACGGCGTGCATGAGGTGCATCTTTTACTGAATCCACACCAATTTCAAATTTCTTACACCACCGTGTGACAGATGAAAAAGAAAATGCATTGTTCCCATAAACACGACATATTTCATTAAATATGTTTTCCGCCTGTATACTAAGGATACAGTCTACTGTGGTTCTTGATATAGGACCGTATTTGGTCAGTGAAAGACTTTTCCCCAACCATTTTAGCTTTATTATACATGATTAGATAGCGTTAATTGAGCTATTGTCAAAGCTAGACTGAACTGATTTACACATGTTTTGTTTCAATTGAGAGCTTTACCAACCATCTATGCGATACATGTACATAGTTCATACAAAACGTGGTTAAAAGCGAGATATTGGCATAGTTGCATTCATATTTGAACACCCCTCATACCTTTTGTTATGGTTACAGAACTAAACTTTTGAAATATCAGAGAATTGATAGACTCCTACTCTGACCTTTTATTTGAATAACAATATATTTACCACAAACATTGTGCTCTTTTGTTTACAGATATGTTGTAGCGAAATTCTTATTGTATCCACTTATTGGATAATTAGAATGAAACAGGTCAGGGATTTATGCATATTAAACCGGACCTATTTTACTTTTTAAAGGTATATGCATGAGTGAGCATGAGCTGGAATTATAAAATCAATTTCATTTTCATTAGTGTTTCAGTTTGAAAACTTATAATATATCATTCACTAAGACAAAGTAACATGAAAGTCACTTCCCTCAAGTCGCATTATATTGATATGAGAATGTATACTGGCTGTCGAAATATATATAAAGTACAGGTCCTAGTCTTCGGTGTCTTTCCACATTTAGCTGTCTATTCTGTCGGAGAAAATGTATCGGGGCGACAAGTATCTCCTTTTGCAGAAGCAACCCTTTAAAGAGCACACCCTTGCGAGATGGTCACAGCAGCCCTCCCGTTAGGCCTTGATAAATGTGAGGAAGTGACCGTGACTCAGTGTGCTTACTACGTGACGTGTACGCCAAGGTAAAGATAAGAGAAGGGGTAACCATTATTAGAAGAAATGATGATAATGGTAACCAGCCTGTGGATCGAGTGTGCGGCTTACCGCATACAGGGTCGAGGCTATACCGGAGGGATTCAACCCCTTAGTTTCTTAATATATTTGACAAAAGAAGTTTCAGTTGTGCGTCTGAAACACAACTAACGAATATATTTTCAGCAACAAAATTGTTTTAATTTGAAGACAATATATTCAAGTGCATGTATTTGTCTTAGTCATTCATCCAGAATCGTTGACAAAGTCTTATAAAAAACACGTTTATATCCATCTTAAATTCTCACCCCATAACGTAGATGGAATGCTTAAATCAAAAAGGGCACTGTCGGACCGTATATGCCACGGACCGAATATGGCAAACGTGTGACATATTCGGTTCGGATTTGTCAGACGAGTGACATATTCGGTATATTCGGTTGAACTGAGTTTTACTATCTAACCAAAACGTATTTGTCACTTACCAAAAATGCGCATAAATAATGAAAATACGTTGTACACAATACACAAATACTGTTTATTGACAGAATCGTAAATACCACAACCGCCATCTTCAACACCATCATCATCAGCAGCAGCATTATTATCATCGTTATCATCATCATAAGTGTATAATAAACATATATTTCTTTTAATTTTTTAAAAGTGTATGATAAACAAATACTTCATCGAATATTTTAAAAGTATATAATAAACAAATATTTCAACAAATAAGCGCAAAACATACACATGTATTTCTTAAGTAGCGTACTGCAATAGCCCTGTAAACTAGAAAATATATTCGTCTTCCACTAAAATATGTTATAATATATATACTTCTAGCTGCTTGAACAAAACAAAAAATGATTCCAGGACCCTTAATAAATATACAAGCTATTAGTTTAAACATGTTTATTTATGCTCGATTGGAAACACGTTCTATCAACTTATATTAATCACTTTAATGTCCGCTTCCTGGAACTAACCAGTACTGATATCAAAGGAGGAAACATAGAGGTGACCTGAATTCGACTCGAACCAAAACTCCTGGGATTGAGAGGCAAACATTTTAGCTATTAGGTCTCTACTACCCCTTATCATTGTATCATCCATAATTTGTGATTCATCAGGAAAAAATCACATCTTGCTAGAGCTTTAATGGCACATATACTGCTACCATGCAAAAAGCAAACGTAGAATGCATTTTAAAGTCTGTCAAATAGTTTGTTTGAAACAACTTCAACGCGTTCTTGAAATCGTCATTTCGAAAATGGTCATGATGGTTTAAGGGATAACATAACGTTTAAGGATCAATATATACATGTGGATACTCTCCTGCGCATCGGTCGAATGTTCCACTATCGCTCACTACTGAAGTAACGTGAGTGTATTCAGTGAGCTGCGAAGGGAGCGTAACATGTTGAGTGAACAGAACGCCATTCATACTATCTCCTCTCGTACGCACCACTGTAAAATGATACATCTGGTTTGCAACTTGAAGAAAATAATTCATGAAATATTTTTCTGATTAAAAAAGTTTCGATTTTGCTTATACCTAACTCATGGCGTAATATAATTAATTTTAATTAGTGGTATAACGTCATTTGTAAATTAAAGTACATGTCCAAATCACGCTTTGTGCGCCTAAAATAAACTTACAAGTTCCATGACCATACCCCTAGTTCAAATACTGTTGATGTTACACGCGACACAAATTTGACTTAGTCAAAGGGCAATAACTCTGGCATGATTGCCCGATCCCAGGTGCACAATAACATAATGCTGACCAACGTACGTGTAATATTCTATGACCCCTAACTAAAGTATTTAACTTTAAGACAAAGAGAAGAACAATTGTGTAATGTTAAACAGATATCAGTATCAAAATAACAAAGCCATGTATATCATATTTGATTTTAATCATAAGCATATTGTAAACATCATATCATACTAAAACAAGATATGTTTGTAAAACATGTATGCCCCCTATCAGCAGCAATTATTCATGTGATAAGGTAATTATGCATGACTTCTGACCCAGTGATCAAACAATTAATAAGGGTTATCAAGTATCTACTGGTCATGACCTTGACCTTTGACCCCTTGACCCAAAACTCAATAGGGGTCATCTGCTGGTCAAGACCAATCATCATACAAAGTTTGAAGTTCCTAGGCCTAAGCGTTTTTAGTTAATTGATCAGAAACCGTTTTTACTTACAAGGTCAATGTGACCTTGACCTTTGACCCATTGACCCCAAAATCAATAGGGGTCATTTGCTGGTCATGACTAATCACCATGCCAAGTTTGAAGTTCCTAGGCCTAAGGGTTCTTTTATTATTGATCCGAAACCGTTTTAACATACAAGGTCAATGTGACCTTGACCTTTGACCCCAAAATCAATAGGGGTCATCTGCTGATCATGACCAATCACTATGCCAAGTTTAAAGTTCCTAGGCCGAAGCGTTCTTTAGTTATTGATCAGAAACCGTTTTTACTTACAAGGTCAATGTGACCTTGACCTTTGACCCCTTGATCCCAAAATAGAAAGGGGTAATCTGCTGGTCATGAAAAATCACCATACCAAGTTTGAAGTTCCTAGGCCTAAGCGTTCTTAAGTTATTGATCAGAAACCGTTTTTACTTACAAGGTCGATGTGACCTTGACCTTTGACCCCTTGACCCAAAACTCAATAGGGGTCATCTGCTGGTCACCACCAATCATCATTCAAAGTTTGAAGTTCCTAGGCCTAAGCGTTTTTAGTTAATTGATCGGAAACTGTTTTTACCTACAAGGTCAATGTTACATGACCTTTGACCCCTTGACCCTAAAAACAATAGGTCATCTGCTGGTCATGACCAATCACCATACCAAGTTTGAAGTTCCTAGGCCTAAGGGTTCTTAAGTTATTGATCGGAAAGCATTTTTACTTACAAGGTCAATGTGACCTTGCCCTTTGACCCATTAACCCCAAAATCAGTAGGGGTCATCTGCTGGTCATGACCAATCACCGTACCAAGTTTGAAGTTCCTAGGCCTAAGGGTTCTTTAGTTATTGATCGGAAACTGCTTTTACCTAAGAGGTCAATGTGACCTTGACCTTTGACCCCTTGACCCCAAAATCAATAGGGGTCATCTACTGATCATGACCAATCACCATACCAAGTTGGAAGTTCCTAGGCTTAAGGGTTCTTTAGTTATTGATCGGAAACTGTTTTTACCTAAGAGGTCAATGTGACCTTGACCTTTGACCCCTTGACCCCAAAATCAATAGGGGTCATCTACTGATCATGACCAATCACCATATCAAGTTTGAAGTCCCTAGGCCTAAGGGTTCTTTCTTTATTGATCGGAAACCGTTTTTACCTACAAGGTCAATGTGACCTTGACCTTTGACCACTTAACCCCAAAATCAATAGGGGTCATCTGCTGGTCATAACCAATCACCATACCAAGTTTGAAGTTCCTAGGCCTAAGGGTTCTTTTGTTATTGATCGGAAACCGTTTTTACCCAAGAGGTCAATGTGACCTTGACCTTTGACCCCTTGACCCCAAAATCAATAGGGGTCATCTACTGATCATGACCAATCACCATACCAAGTTTGAAGTTCCTAGGCCTTAAGGTTCTTTACTTATTGATCGGAAACCATTTTTGCTTACAAGGTCAATGTGACCTTGACCTTTGACCCCTTGACCCCAAAATCAAAAGGGGTCATCTACTTGTCATGACCAATCACCATACCAAGTTTGAAGTTCCTAGGCCTAAGGGTTCTTTAGTTATCACTCGGAAACCATTTGGTCTACGGACCGACGGACCGACGGACCGACAAGTGCAAAGCAATATACCCCCTTTTCTTCGAAATGGGGGCATAATAATGTGTTAAAATACAATTGTTGATGTGCTTCTTTATTCCCTACATAAACATAACAAGCTGCAACATGACTGTTTTAACATTCCCCACCTGTTTTGATAAAAAAAAAACATGAGGCGTCCTGGGCAAATACAAGGTTAACATTTACTTGAACAATACCATTATTTAATCAACGCCATACCCACATGCTTGAGAAACTTATATCAAAAGTAAAATGCTTGTCCCAATTTTACTTTTTCACATTAAAAAAAATCAATGGTGAATTATTTTCCTCATAGTGTAAACCTGACATTTATCTTTGACGTTTCTCTTAATAACTGCAAACGGGTTGATAATTGAATATAATTCTACATTAGCAACTTAGTTCTGTAAATTAAACATAAAATACGCTTTGCAAGAACATTAGGATATTGAATGCATAATGTTATCAACTATTTCAGCAGTCCATATCACTGTTAAACGCTATATAGTATCAGTTTCTTGTAATTAAATAATGGATGAGTAAAAAAAATATAACATTCAAAAAGCCAATTATTACAGTATATATTTAATTACAATGTGTATACGATTGAAACTTGTCCAAAATCTTGATTTTCATAATGAATTTATCTATAACAATAATTTTTAATAATAGATAAATTAATTAACATTGTTGATTAAGATGATATCTGGAAACCCTGATCCCTCGGAAGCATTAAAAATAGCAAAATTATATGTAAAATGATGACGAGCGGTAATCAGTTCTCAATACTTAAGAATGGTAATATTTGAAATTATAAATATTTTAACTTCAGAATGCGCTAACCGTGTTTACCATAACGCTACCTTTGTTTCCTCTAAATGCATAAAGCTGATTATTCTATCTATAAACACACAATACATTTATATTAACTGCATATTTTCATATCGGGTATTCATTAGTATCAGATAGTTTTTATTATTTGCAGAATGTCATTTCGTTCCTTTTAAATTTCTTGACTTCATTGAATTCGACTGTTTTAATTTATTCAAGAGAATTAAGAGAATTCACGAAAAACTCAAGAAGAAGTTGTAAATGTGAAGCATGCATTTTACGCATATAATTACATGTTTTATAATTTACAGTACAAAAATGTGAAAGGATATAATTAATAGTTTCCAATAGCTGCTGTCTCAAAAAGAGTGTTTTGTATAGCAACACTGTCAAAGGTATTACTTTGTATGATAATTCCTTTGGAGAAAGCCTTCAATGTAAGATAACGCTACATTATTCATGTCACATGTATATATTCCTTTGCCAGTTAGGAATGCCAAATCAACAATGCAACCAAGTTGCTTAAATTCCGATGAAGTCAACATGCGGTCAGTTGGCTGGTTAGGTAAAGCATGAATGTTCTTGTGGTGAAAGATCAACAAAGCCGTGCGTTCAGACTCTACAATAAAACAATAAAAATCCATTGAAAACAAAACAATCAAGTATTCAAATCATTCCGAATAACATATACATATTTATATATTCTATCTATCTTCCCCACCTTTATTGTCAACTTTTCAATGCAGGGATACTAAGAATAATCAATAAATAAATACTTTGCAACTGAATATTTTCACGCCCTAAAAAAGGAAAATGACATAAACTGTATTATGCAGCAATTTAATTATATCTAAAAACAAACCGATCAAAACGTATTTTCTATACTTACTTTCAACACCATCAATTGCAGAAGTAGCATCGGTCCCCAGATTTGAAGAGTTTATACACAACACAAGGATAGGCTTGTCAGGTTGTATGTTTGAAATGTTTTCACATCTGATAATGTCCAGGTGCATACCCATCTTTTCCATCTGCGCGTCAAGCATACTAGATAGCTCGTTTACAACCAACGCCATCAAAGCATCTTTTCGTTGGTAAAACAGTTGAACTGGAACTGCACTTTTATTCTCGACTCCGTGAAAAAAAAATGAGACTTTTTAACGAGTCGCTATACCAGCAATATAAAGGCAAGGGTTAAACACGTAACATATTGGCGTTACAATGTTATATTAGCAAGTAAATGACAAAGGAATCACCTTCTCAATTAATTCAATGATAAATATGATATGTTTGTATGGCTTCGATACATCGTTGAAAAGAATAATTTTATGCCCGGCAGATAATTGCATACTATAATTAAAATAAACTCGTTCAATAAATCCATTAAGAAAAGTCTACAATCATTCAATATCTCCTATTTCTTGATCCGTATTTAAATACTTCAATGTCATATTGAAAATAAAAGACAAATATATAACTATTTTAGGTATGGTTTTAGTGACATTCGAATAAAATGTTTCTGAAACAAAATATATTGTAAAATAACTTGTTTTAAGGCAATATGCGATATTATGCTGCTTACAATAGCATCAAACTTAGGTTGATAACATAAACATGCATATTATTTTATGTTTTATCAAGATCTCTAACGCCATTCTCATATTTAAATTTACAAAAGCCAGTTTACTTTTATGAACATCGAATGCTTGAACATCAATGTGATGTGTTTTTAACAAAAAATATCAAACCTCTTACCAATCTTTTTCCTTTCCCTGACTTTTCGTTTCTCTTCCTCGAGGTCATAAACATGTCGCCTCAGTTGCTCTATAGTGCGTTCTAGGAATCTTTTGTCATTTTCCGATCGATCAAGCTTTGACTGGAGGGAATCCATTGCATCAGTTTTGCGCTTTAATCTTAGTATTTCAGTATTAAGACTCTTATTGTCATTTTCTATTTTCGTGTACTTCATTTCCAATTCATATTTCTCATGTTTAGCACGACGTGCCTCTTCCTTAAAATTCAGCAAGGTATTAATTCTCAATTCGAGTTCAGTTACTTTACCCTTCGATTGTTTTAACAACGTTTGCAGTTCAATGTTATTTGAAGAAATAGCTTTGTTTTCCGCTCTTATAAAGTTTATTTCTTTGTCTTTATCAAAATATCTTGAACCATCAGTAGAGCTTGATCGTTTGGATGTATGCGCAGGACTGCCCTGGTTTGATGCCGCTGACATCGGACTTCCTGTGTTTCTGTTTTCTGTGTTTCCTGGCGGCGATTCTGCGTCGTCAGAACTATAGCGTGTTGAGATTTCTTGTAAACAATTATCAAGTATACTAAAACTTTCACATAAAGCACCTACTTGCTTGCTCAATGAAGTCTGAAAATAAATTTAATCATGTTCGCAATATTTTCAGAATTTAACAAAATTATAAAATTTGTTTTCAAGTTATAATTTTATGAGTGGATTTATACTCACCTGATAGTACATTACATTAGGATTTATCTCCGCATATTACGTTCAATCCGCCTAATAAAAACCAAGCGTCTAACTACACTGATCATCACATGATCATTAGACGCTCTGTAGAAGTACAACAGGACCCCAGTTTATTCTATAAGTGAAAAACGTGAACCTAGTATAACTTATAGAAATACATCAGGGGAGGAGGGTGGAACCTATCAGGTGAGTATAAATCCACTCATAAAATTATAACTTGAAAACAAATTTTATAATTTCATTTCGTGATTTATACTCACCTGATAGTACATTACATTAGGATAGATTTTTAAGCAGTACTCACCTCCGGAAGTGGTGATGTATTTCTGCCTTCTTCTTGAAGATCATAAAAACAATTCTCTGAACAAAAGACTTCTCTCTTTTCTTCTTCTTTTATATTTTAAAACATTCTTCTTCTTGAAGAACCTCATAAAAAACTTTCATAAAACTTCTTTATATCCCATATATACATGTATATTAAACAGTACAATCTTCCCAAAAATTAATTCCCCACAAAATCCGTCGGGAATAAACTTTGAATTAAAAATATCTTTGGAAAATTTCAATCTTCTAACGTTGAACTATAGTGACGTTTAACTACACAGTGAGAACACTTGGAGTAACTTGTGTCAAATAAAATTTAACGAAGGTGTTTTCTCTTGACCAATCAGCAGCATCGAGAATTGATTTCATTGACGCACCTTTAAAAAGTGCCCATGATGGACCTAAAGCTCTTGTAGAATGTGCTGTTACACTTTTATGTTTATCTTCATAAGCCTCTTGAATAGTTTTAACAATATATGAAGCCAATGTTTGTGAAGAAGCTTTAGAATGAGGTACATTTATTGTCAGAAATAAACTTGTTTCATCTTTACCTTTAGAACGTCTGAAAGATTCAGTTCCTTTAAGATAGATAGCAAGTGCTCTTTTAGGATCAAGTAATTTGTTGGTCTTGAAAGCTGGTACAACAATTTTTGCTGATGAATGACCAGGTCTATCCTGTTTAGCCAAACCTTGTCTGAAAAAAGTTACCCCATCTGCCTTCACAGATATAGCTCCTTCTCCTAATTTTAGCGCTTGAAGGTCACTGGCTCTCCTGAATGTCGTGATAGCTATAAGAAAAAACTTTATATGTTAAAAATTTAATTGATGTTTTTCTCAAAGGTTCAAAAGGATATTTTTGTAGCGCACTAAGAACTTTAGGCAAATCCCATTCAGGCAACAACTTTGTTAGAGGAGGTCTTAAATTGAATACTCCTTTAAATAATCTGATAACATATGGATCTTGACCAATAGGAGTGTTATCTACTGGAGGTAAAACTGCAGATAACATAGAGCGGTAACCTGCTATTGTACGATACTGTAAACCTTTATTGTACAGATCTGATAAAAACTCAGCACAATTATTTAAGGAAGCTGTCAAAGAGTCAATATTCTTTTCACGACACCATATCATAAATTGTCTAAATTTACTGGAGTAATCTTTCTGAGTACCAGTTCTCCAGCTGGCTGTAAGAAGTTTCCTAACTGATTTTGAAAAACCTTTTTCTCTAAACTGTCTGTCGATAGCAACCATGCAGTCAGTTTCAGAACACCTGGATTTGGATGACATATCTGAGATTTTGGTTGTTGTAACAGATTATTTGTAACCAATGGAAGACGAAACGGTTGAGCTACCGACAGATTCAATAACTCTGGAAAACATGGGCGTCGTGGCCAGAATGGAGTTATTAGAATCAGTTTGCAATGAAACTGTTTCATATGATGAAGAACTCTGGGAATGAGACAAATTGGGGGAAAAGCATAAGCATGCATGTTCTCCCATGAAACTGAGAGAGCATCTATTGCAAATGCTTCTTGGTGTGGGATCCAGGCACAGAATATCTGAGTTTTCCGATTGAGGGCTGATGCAAAAAGGTCTATGCTCGGAACACCCCAAATTTGAAATATTGTTTGAACAACTGACTGATTCAGACTCCATTCCGTTGGCTGAATTTTCATTCGACTTAGACTGTCGGGTACTACATTTAATTTGCCTGCGATATGGGCTACTTTCAAATTCATTTGATTTTGTAGAGCAAATTTTCATAAACTCCAAGTTTGGAGACAAAGGTAAGGAGATTTTGTTCCCCCTTGTTTGTTTATATATTGTACTACGGTTGTATTGTCTGACCGTATCATGACATTTTGACCTCTTAACAGATGACTGAATTTTTTCAAAGCAAGAAACACTGCCTCCATTTCCCGACAATTTATGTGCAGATTCTTTTGGCTTTGAGACCACTGTCCCTGCACTAAATGATTTTCCATGCAAGCCCCCAAGCCTATCATCGAAGCATCTGTTTGTAGAACCTTGTCCGTTTTCCATGGTAGAAAAGATCTGCCCTTGAAAATATTGGCTGGGACTAACCACCACTGAAGGTGACCTATCAAATGATTTGTAACTGGTATTTTGAAATTCAGATCCCGAGAACTGGGTCGCCAATAATGAAGTAGATGTAATTGCACTGGACGCATAAATAACCTGGCATTCGGAAAAAGTTCTATACAGGATGCCATCAAACCCAGAATTTGTAACATAATTTTGGCTGTGACCAACTGTTGTTTTTGAATTGCCAGAACAAACTGCACAATTTTGTGATGTCTGTCTGGTGTCGGTGTTACTGTTCCCTTTTCTAAATTGAAACAGCCCCCTATGTAAGTAATTTTCTGAGCTGGACACAGTTGAGATTTTTTGACATTTATTATAAAGCCTAGTTGCATAAGAAGATCCAGCAATCTCGATAGATTTTGAACAAGCTGTATTTTGACTGCATTTAGCCCTAGCCAATCGTCTAAATAGACTGCTAGACGAAACCCCCACTGTTGTCTTACATAAGCTGCTAATACTGTAACCAGCTAGGTGAAAGTTCGAGGAGCACACTTGGGGCCAAATGGTAGTGCTCGAAATCGATATGCCTTGCCCTGAACAGAAAAACTTGAGGGTAATATATAGGGATGTGCATGTATGCGTCGCTCAAATCTATCGAAATTGCATAATCTCCTTTCTGAACAAAATTTAGAACAGATTTTAAGGACTCCATTTTGAAATGTTGATGTTTCAGATACCTGTTTAGGGGCTTTAAATTTATAACTGGCCTTAGATCTCCAGTTTTCTTTGGAACAAGAAAAAGCGTACTGTAAAAACCTTGTTCGACCTGGTCTGGAGGTATTTCTTCTATAGCATGTTTTTTTATTAATGTATCTACCTCCTGCAGTATAATATCTAATTGTTTTGGGGGGACTCTTGTTTCCAATACCCCATTGAACTTTGGAATTTCTACAAATTCTAACTTGTAACCTTCCTTTATTATATCTTGAACCCATTGGTCTTCTGTTATTTCTCACCATTTTGGATAAAACTGTTTTAGCCTGCCCCCAACAGGTATCTGTGGATGAATCATTAACAAGTCATGTTGATTTGTTACGAAAAGTACTACTTACATTAGATGTTTTAGGCTGTGATTTTACCACCTTAGGTATGGTAAAATTACTTTTATTGGACCTCTGTGGCTGTCTGTAGCTCGGAAATTGACTCCTGGCAGGACGACTTTCAAAAGTCTGATTAGGCAACCGTGGTCTCTTCCACTGATTTGAAGAGGCAGAATCTGGAAACATCCTCTTGCGACCTACCTCTGGTAAAAGATCTGACAATTGAGAATTCATATCCTGTCTATCTTAAACTTCTTTTCCATACCATCCCAAAACACTCCTGTATTGGACAAGAAAGTGTCCATAAATGATCCTTAATGTCTCTAAGATCATGTAAGCCTGTGTCAGCTGAAGGTGCTTTTCTTCTAATTAAATAGTGAAGAGCACCACAATGAGATATTTTATCCAATGTCTTTGTAGACATCGCAAAGATATCTCTAACACACTGTATGATTTTGTCTACATTGAGAGAATTCTCTTGTGTAAATGTATATAAATTTTACAACGCTTGTTGTACTTATAAATTAATAATAATGCCCATGCGTGCTGCACATTGACCTTGAAATGCTATCTTCTCAATGGATTTTTGAGGTTGTGAATACAAAGATTGAGACTTCGAAGCTGCTTTACTACCATATTTCTTCATCAACAGTGATTCTACTATGGTATCAAGACTTGGAACTTGCAACAACTCTTCTGCAGAGTCACTTACAGGAAATGTTGACTTATAAATGTCTTTATAAGCTGAAATTCTAGAAGGGTCTGAGCTGCGCCATGACTCCTTAAGTACTGTAACTTGACTGTCATCAATAAGCAACCCTGAAGTATCTTTGTCTGGTTTAGTAAGTGCATCTTCACCAAACATTTGTGCTAACACTTTCTTAGAACTGTATTTAGTAAACCTATCTGGCTGTGGAATGCCATCAGCGTCTACAATTTCAACACTAGTCAATGCCTAATTCAGAACGCTCCCTTTGTCCTGGTTGCAAAGAGAGAACATCATCCTCAGGAATATTGTAATCCCTGTTCAATGAATTAGTAAGAGGTAACAAGGATCTACTACCACCTGGAGCGGTGTTATCCCTCAATGGCACAGGTCTACTCTCACCAGAAGTGAAGTTTTCCTGAGTGTCAGAAGTACACGGTCTCTGCAAGACAGTTTCCGAATTATTCTTGGTCATAAAACCCATGAGCTGATCAAATTTAGCATGTAAAGAAGAAACTTCACCTTTAAAATCGGTAACATCTTTACGTAAAGAATCTTTCTTACTCGCACGTGGAGTGCGTTTCTTTGCCGAAGATGACAAACTGGAAGTTCTAGAAACTGAACTTTCCGATAAATTTTCTTCCACCAAATCAGAAGAAATAGCTTCACTATTCATGATAGAATTAACAAAAAGCAAACTTACAATAAAAGTCCAAAATAAAAGTCCTATAATCACACAAGAAAATAGTTTCATAGCACGATGTGAACGTTTTGAACGCCGAGAATAAACTGTAGTCCTGTTGTACTTCTACAGAGCGTCTAATGATCTTGTGATGATCAGTGTAGTTAGACGCTTGGTTTTTATTAGGCGGATTGAACGTAATATGCGGAGATAAATCCTAATGTAATGTACTATCAGGTGAGTATAAATCACGAAATGAAATTACAAGACAGCAAAACAGGGAAGTATACTTATGACGATGATTTTCAATTTACATTTTAGGCATTATATTCAATATACATAATCTCCACTTTGAAGAGGTTTATAAGGGCACTTATTATTGAAAACTGCATTATGGATGGTTCAAGCCCTAGCTAGTTCAACTTTTTTCATTTTCTTTCTTTTGTTATTCTTCAAACATTACTTACATTACATTCAGATAATTTTAAGATTTTTTCTTTATTTTAATTATACGTATAATTGTTATGAAAATTGACTGGCTTGATAATGCTAAATCTGATACCCAGTATGTTATATGATATTTTCAGGTTGTTTAGAGTGTCCTTCTCTCTGAAAAGAGCCCTTTTTTATATCAATGTTTTAGTTCTGAAAAGACTTCAAAAAGTCCAACCAATAAGGCAAATTTTGTTCAAATGTTGCTAAATTTTCCTTTTAAGTATGACACTCAACCATGTTGTGGATATTCAGTTACGCATAGTGTCCAATAGGGGTATACTACCTTAAATTTTAGTATACAAATGAACTTAAGCTTCAAGTCTGATATTAGGTCTGATCAAAAAGTTAATGCAAACGTTCATTCTAATATAATGAAACAGTACCTAAGATCCGAAGTTTGATTATTATAATCAAATTCAAAAGAAGGAAAAAAGTGAAGTACAAGGTATTTCAATATTAAAACAAGGCTGACATTGTCACAAGATACGCCCGTCAAAAAAGCTTAAGGTAGAGATGAGGGCGATATGAATTGGGCAAGCAAGTTGGTCCCTATTCATATTTTCATCTGTAATGTTACCGCTGTATATGACCTGGACCTTGTTTGCAGAGACCTGCATTTAATATGTGACACTCAGGCCCACAATGTTGAAAATGTGTACCAAGTTATATTAAAATTCCTCAATGCATGTAGAAGTTTTGCTCCAGACAAGCGTTTTTCAAAGAGATCTTTAAGTGAGACCATGACCTGGGCACTGCGTCTTATGGCGGTGATTAATTCTATAAAGTAACATTAAAATTGCATGTAGGAGATATGCTCCGGACAATATCTGGATATTTAATTATCTGTAGTGACCTTGCAAATATTAATCTAAATTATGCGTATCACACCTGTAGTCATGATTATGACAATCTGTGTTTCAATCCCTCAATAAATAATTACTAAATGGACCCTATATACATCTTCATATTCTTATCTGAACTTTGATCTCTATGTGTGGCCCTGACCTCGGTTGCAGGGTCTTAATTTAGTGGGCGACACTCTGTCTCGCAATGATGAACATTTGTGCCAAGTTATATTGAAATCCCTTAATGCATGTAGACGTTTTGCTACGACAATGACTTGTAAGTATGACCTTGACCATTGACCTAGAGACCTGGTTCATGAGCACAACACGCCTTCTGATTGTGGCGAACATTTCTTTCTTGCATAGCAGACTGGCGTTTCCGTGAGTTTTACCCATGCCGGAAATTTCATCTGGCATGGGGGGTGTCAGATGAGTCGTATGCCATACAACAACGTCAATTTAGCGCTTATTATGAATGAACCGCGTTAAAATGACGTCACTTTTGAAGGGAATTTCGTGCTTAGGATTACGTCATTTCGCCGTTGCTATTAAAGTTGTAAATTCATACGCTATTGTAAGAAAATAGTTATGGATAAAATGACTTTAATTTCCATGAACAAACCATTTTAAATATGAAATAATATGGCAGTATATGCAAGAAAAAGTATCAGACATATGTTTGCGGTTCGGATCGGAATATCCTTCCCTCGGGGAACCCGCCCATGGGCGGTTACTCGGCAAGCCTCGTTACCGCCCAATGAGCAGGGACTCCTCTTGACGGATATTCTGATCTGAACCGCAACATATGACAGATATTATTAATGAAGCCCAATGGGCGGTAATGAGGCATACCCTGTGCACGGGTTCCCAAGGGACGGATTTTCCGATCCGAAAGCCAAATATATGTCAATCATTGCATATTCTATCATATTCCATCATATTTTAAACTTTTTCTTTAATAAAACAATTTTCCATTGAAATACATGTCATATACACCCGTAACTATTTTCTTACCATAGCGTATGAAAGTACAACTGCATTCACAACGGCAAAACGTCATCCTTATAATGACATTGTAGAGCACGCGACTCATCTGGTAACCCCCATCCCCCTCCAAGCCAGATGAAATTTCCGGCATGGGTAAAAACTAATGGAAACATCAGTCTTTTATGCAAGAAAACAAATTGCTGGCACCAAGAAGAAGCATGTTAAGTTATAAGAACACATTTCAGTAAATTATAAATCGAATTTAAATCATCTGACTTTGACAATGCTTCTGTATTGCGTTTTCCGGTTACTTCTTTAAATATATCGCGACTTTGTAAACCTATAAGTTGATACATGTACTTATTACCTGCACGGAATTCAGAATGACGCCAGTTTTCTCCAACGTCCCGCTAAAATTGCGTTGATGAGTGTTCTGCAGTTCTGAAGAGGAAGAAAATAATGGAGTGTGTTCAGTGATATTATCATGCATAGATTTTGAGACAAAACTTTTAGGTCGGAAGTAATTCATAATTGTTTTATATAATATTGTCTCTTTTTAAAGGTAAAAAAGTCATTATTTTCCGCAGGTTAATTTATTGTCTATTCGCAATGCATTATATCGGTATGCATTTGCCAGGCTGAAAATCTTTATTCTTAATTAATCTTATAATACTGAAAATGAAAAAAGTTAGTTTTAATTTAACGGTATAAAAAGATAGATACAAAAATAAAAATAAATTATGCTAATGGCAGGTAATTAGCTTTAAATTGAAATATTTTAAAAAAGGAGTCTTATAACTATAAGTTCAAGATTATGACAATGTAAGGTTGTATAGTGAAGTGCATATTGAGGTAATGGCAGAATAAAATTCAACTAAAACATGTTAATAGCATTTAAGTAAAATTATCAAAAACAAGTACTTTACCAGCTAGTTCTTGATATAGTAACTGTGCTGAGGCATATTGTGCTTTTACACTAGCTTCTATGCTATGTACAATACATTGATGATTATACATACAACTCTGAAATTGAAATAACCTGAATTATATCTAAATCCCATACATTACTACTAACAGAGAAGGAAAAAGATTTGTCCAAGCAAAAACTGACGATCATTATATGGTAAGAGAAATTATATATACTTTATTTTTTTAGTAATTAGATTAACAAAATAAAATTTAAAAAAAAAAACATAATGAGAATACATTCGTGTTAACAGATCATCAAAGAACACAAATTCGTCTACTTTAAACAATATAATTATTTCAATGTTTAAACTTGTCTGGTTGTATATTATGAACAATTTTATATTAGACTCTGTAATATAATTATAATTCTACTTAAAACATAGCCACAGTATACTTTTAATCTTTCAGCGTCACTCTTCAGAACATAATCCGCTTCCTTTGTATACGACCCTCCCATGTTTTCTAAATAAATTAAAAGTTATTTTTCACATTAGCTCTTCTCCGCAGTATAGTACTAAATAAAGCGAATCGATTTTAAAACTGTAAACCTGTTTAGATACATATTTTAGATTCTATAATATATCAGTGGTACATTAAAGTACATCTCTAAAACACTGATCCATTGTTAATGCATCATTCAAATAAAAGTTAATTATAAATATGTTTTTAAAACTGCTTAAATCCAGAACTTACCTGTTTTATTACTTATTCTCCGTGTTTGTTTTCGTTTTCGATTATCCTTACTGGTCGGGGACCATCAACCGGACACTTTTTGAACATTTTATCATACAGATTTCATAATTTTAAACATAGAGACCTGAGAATTTGACACAGTACAGCTAGGTTTTTCTCAGTTTGTTTATTTATGATTATATTGACGGAGCGATAGCCTCGACAAGGTAATAGCAGACGGCATTTTGATAATGAATCGAATGATTCAACAAACTTGGTAAAGTAGCTGACAGGTTGGTGATAAGTAGATTGGTACTAACCAACTTCATAGCTTAGTAGCAGACGACAGTTTGGTAATGATCAAATTGGTTCGAACAAACTTCGTCTAGTGTTTGCCGACCACAGTTTCGTTGTAATCAAAATGGTTCGATAGCAGACGATAGTTTAGTAATTATCAAAATGATTCGAATATCAGACTACAGTTGGGCAATAATCAAAATGGTTCGAATAAGCTTCAAGTATTCGCAGACGACAAGTTTTAGCAGACGACAGTTTTGTGATAGTCAAAATGGTCCGAATAAACTACTTCGTCGAACGGTGACAGATAACATAGGTAACAATATGAATATAGTTGTCACTCACATAACAAAAGCTCGAATTTCTTAAGAACTTTAACAACAAACACATATATTTTTGGAATATGGCCGTGACTTTCATATACGAAAATTAAATAAAAAAAAGAACTTAATTCCAAATTAAAACTGAAGTCAATTATAAAATGAGAAAGTAAGAAAAATGCCTCTAGCCAAAATGCATAGAGACAACATAGCAGCGCAAAAATGCCGAAAACTATGATAATAAGCTTAAACTATGCATAACCTTCAAGGGAAAGGTACTGCATAATTATAGGTAAAGAGAAAACGGGGCGAAAATGCTCCCAGAGGTCTCCAAATAATGAGATGATAAAATAAGTAAAGTGTGACTAAAATACACAGTGTAACGATGTTAAGAAAAATGTGATACTTAAAATATACCCCACCGAGATATGCACTTGATGTATTCAGGGCCACATGATATTTTATGAAACATAAAATTTACCCAATATTTTGGATTAATCGAACACGGCCTTATTGCTATAGTTGCTAGCTAAAGATTCAATAAGTTCTTGTAAAGATGATATGAAGATGTCAAGGCCGATTGGAGATAAATGCACACCATCATTAGGAAACAAGCCTGGGGTATCTGCTGTGATTTCAGCATGTTTTAGCCAACGCCCACCCCGAGCTAGAACGGAGCAAGAAACGGACCGGTTTACGCATTTTCTTGCCTTTTCCACCACAGATAACTGGCGATCAGAATGCCAATTGAGCCTAGGCAAAATGCTCGACTATACTACCGTGGTTGTCGGGCCTGCTGGTAACCAGAACTGGAGAAGGTCATTTTTCATATTATTTGCTAAGACACCCTTTTTTACCTTTATTAAAGAGTTGCCGCCACAGTGCACCACTATCATGTCTGGTGGCTATCTGGATTTAGCTAGCATCCAGCTAATTTTTGGGAAGACCTCATCCCATGTCATGCCGCCTTCACTGTGCATTTTTTTTTCCAACCGAAGGTTTATCGAAGATCCCTTAATTGCTCCCCTTTTAACCCTACGATCCATATCACTGAAAGTACATGAATAATAAGGCAGAAAAACTGAACAAAAATTGTAAAATTTATTTGCGAATATATTTTGCATAGGAATTAGACGTCCACCTTCCTTTTTCCATTATGACGTCATGAGGGATGCCCTTTGAATCTAAATATGATGCGGCCCGATACGAAAGCTGTGAGAAAGTATCCTTTTTTGACGGGAAACCCAGATAGTGTAAACATTTTCTCAAAACGGATGAAAATTGAAACTTAGTAACAGGCTGACAGTTTGCATGGCTAAACAAATAAATTGACAGGGGTTTAATTTCAAGATATGACACTATGGCTTTAACTGGACATAGCTGGCTTTTTTGTAACCCAGATATAGTTATCTCATGTGGTGAGCCACAATGGTTATTTTTCGACTTTCTTAAAGTAAAATATGCAATTTTGGTGCCATTGATACACTGTAAGCGTAGATCTGATGTTTGTAAAGAGTGTTGGAAAATATTTTGTGAAGTAGCAACGAGCTCGCTCAAAATAGTGCGCGAAAAAGGCGAGTTTCGTAGTATACCCAGAGGAGCAGACAGCATTAAGTGCAGTACAAAGGTCTCCCAGCATTTCAATAGTTATAGGAAGCCTAACATCAACATGAAAATTTTTACGCTTAAAGCCTTCCATAACTGTTTTGATGTAAAACGATAAACCTGCTAGATATGTTGTGGCGGATTTATAGGATTATAAATGCTTTTGAAATAACCAAGCTATATACATTGAAACACTATGCTGATCAGTTGGAAGAAGATGCGAAATATTGTGAATAATACAAAAGTTATTAAATGACCGTAATGCAGAGTCGTAAGCTAATTTTGTGTTACGAGATATACCGTTTGAAGCTAAGCATTCTGTTATTTGCTGAAGATATCCAGAAGATGCGTAGGAACGGTTGCCGGTAATTCGTCTGCTGCCGGTGCTAAGAGTCTGAAACGCTGAAAATCATATCTTGAAAGAGCATCAGCAATACCATTATTAATGCCAGAGATATGTTTAGTTTTGAACATAATATTAAATTTTAAACACTGAAAAACGAATTTCCTGACAAATATCATAGCGATTTTTTATTTACTGGTCATAGAGTTGATTATGTGACATACAGACATGTTGTCACAACGAATTATGATTTTTTTATTTGTTAATTCGGCAGGCCAAACAAAGATAGATGCAACAATCGGAAATATTTCTAAAATCGTAATATCTCCAATTATACCATTTTTTCTCCAGCTCTCTGGCCACGTGCCATTTGCCCATGCGCCATTAAAGTAAATCCCAAAGCCTTTACTTGAGCTATCCGTAAATAGCTGTAAATCCTCGTTTGTTACCCATCTATTTTCGGGTATAATAGAGACGCCATTAAAATTTGATAAAAAAGACAGCCAAATAAGTAAGTCATCTTTTACCTCCCTGGAGACCCTTAAATGATGGTGTTTTTCTGGGACAACTCCCACTGTTAGATCTATAAGCTTTCTCAAAAAAAAAGGACGACTTATGGGAATAGCCTTACAAGCGACTACGTAAGGCTACCGATAAGAGACTGGATATGTTGCAGTGTTAGCCTTCTTTTTTGACAATGTAACCTTTATTTTTCCTTAAGCTCGAACAACTTACCTTGGGGAATCTTGATAGCCATGTCATCGGAATCCAAAACGAGGATAAGAAAAGTAATAACAGTTGTTGGGCAAATCGTTTTATTTTCAGCGAGAGGAACATTTAGTTCGCTGCATAGTTGGAAAAATCGTTACATTCTGCAGTAAGTGATTTCCCACCGAATAAAAGATAAGGTTATAAGATGTCTTAATGTTATAAGACTTTGACCGCTCTTTTATGCACCACTCCAGAAATGTGGAAAACTTTTCAAAAGTAGAACATGATATTGATGCCCCGAATGGCAGGCACTTGTCAAAGAAATATTTTCCTTTGTGCTTTATGCCCTAAGTTCAAAATCACTTGGCTTCATAGGCAATAACCGAAAGACTGACTGAATATCAGTTTTTGCTAAAAAGGGCGTGTCTACCGAGATTTTGCACCATCAAAATGCATATATTGGACAGAGCTTAACTCTAACGGAATGAAATCAATAACAGAAGAATTCTTTGGAAAACTGAGATGATGAATCAATCTAAATTCATTTTTTCCTTTTTTCGCTACCAAACCTACGGGGGAAACTCTAAAATTTAAGAAAGGGGGCTCGTTAAAAGGACCGCCCATTCGCCCTGCTTGAACTTCCGTATTAATTTTAAGAGACACAATATCAGGATTCTTGAGGGCGGACTTAAGGTTTCTGGTTCGTATAGACAGTCTAGGACCAAAATAGCAAAGAGAAAAACCGTTAGAAAACCCGTCTGCGATCTCAAAAGCTATATCCCTGTTTGGGTAACGTTCTAATTCCTTATTTAAAGCTAAAATGTTAATTGGTGAAGAGCCCAAAGTAAACCTATCGCTTAGGAGTTTTGAGCTGAAAAGCAGGTTGTGTTGCTTGTCCAGTCCGAAAGGAAGCACAATGAATATTGGAATGCGTAGTGCTTGAGCATTTTGAGCAAATGTGCCTATATCTGCACTTTTGAGCGAACGGGCAATAACCTTCATTAAACCTGACGCAAGGTACTTGCGAGGGTGATTGTTCTTGTTTTGGTCCAGAACCGTTAAAGCTACTGGACGGGCTATGTATTTTGGGAATAGTCATAACTTTCAGCCACAGGTCTGTATTTAAACTGGACCACCGTTGGGGGTTATTTTCCTGGCGCATGCGAAATTGCTCGTCATAGACTCTCCATGCAGCGTCATTTCTACGTGAGGCTGCCTGTCTTATGGTAGACATATAGCTTAAGAGGTCATTAGCGGCATTTGGATGTTTGATCAGATAAATATCCATGAAAATCATGAAGGCATCGGACCATTGTTCAATATTTTTAATTTGCTCGGTAGAACCTTTCGGGCGAGTTTCAAGCGTACCCTCGTCGGTCAAAAATATGTGCGCCCCTTGTAATGCGTTTGATTCCGATGATTTTAATAGCATTGACAAATTAACAAATTTTCCGGCCCATATTTTTTCTTTTAAATGTTCCGATATGTGTGCGCTGATGCCGTCATAAACCGACTGAAACATGGCTATATTGGTTATTGGTGGAGTAGAGAAAAGTGGGCGTGGGTTCGAAACCGTGTTCTGTTGGCTTAGATTTAGTGGAATGTTCGGGCTTGCATTTTGCTGTTGTACCTGTAAATTAAAAGCTGATAAAGGTAACTCACCATGCCCGGGGAGAAAATTTCCTATTGCTCATTGATAAGAAACAAATAATGACATTCAGGTAACAAATCACACAAGTAAAAATGATTGTTTCTAAACAAAATGTTTGTCATACCAGTATGTTTAAAAATGTAACCCTACCCCACACACTTTAAACTCTAAGAATTTGACCATTTCCCTATATAATTAGCCATATTCAAAATATCCCTAAAATTTACCACAATGAGGCGCTGTTTTTAAAGTTTTCCTAAATTTTCTTAAAAGTATATTAAGTGATAATGCGAAATATAAAATACTTTTACGTGTAGTTTTTATTTAATCAAACTTTGAAAATATCTGGTGTCATATTTGCTTTTAAATTTGACATATAGCAAATAAATACCTACAATAATTATATCATTAAAATCAAACACTTTTTTCTTCATAAGGGATTTGAGAGAGACATAAATAATGTTAAAAAGAAAAAAAGAAAGAAAGAAAAAGTTGTCTACCTTAACATGAATAAAAACAAACATTAGATCAAATTGATTCAGGTATATTATATTAATATATTGACAGTATGAAAGGATTTGTTGTCCCTATTTTGAACATTGAATTTTAGGATGTGCCTATTGAAAAGAATGATAAATAATTACAATTACATAACACAATGACTATTGATAACTATTTAATATAATACACAAAATATGTTTAAATATCTGGGAAAGGGGTAATCCCTCAGAGGCAATGAAAACATCAAAATCATATGAGCCGCGTCACGACAAAACCAACATTGTGGGTTTGCGACCAGCATGGATCCAGACCAGCCTGCGCATCCGTGCGCTCTGATCAGGATCCATGCTGGTCGCTTACAAACCCTATTACAAGTAGTGAAACTGATAGCGAACAGCATGGATCCTGATCAGACTGCGCGGATGCGCAGGCTGGTCTGGATCCATGCTGGTCGCAAACGCACAATGTTGGTTTTGTCGTAACGCGGCTCATATGTTGAATGCAGACTTAGTTTGATTGAGTCTGTACATGAGGGATAATGTAAACGTGCAACACCCCTTACGCCCGATAGGACCGGCTTAAGCAGTATATAATCTTCAAAACTAACGTGCTGGAATCATTTATCAAGAATTAAGGACCAGAACAAAATCGAAACACTGAAGTGAAATATGCCACATGGAACTTAACACCTGCTGTTGTGAAACACATGTATAACAATCAATCTGGAAAAGTCGGTTCAGTTAACATATCATAAACCATACGTTAAACTGTAAATGTGTTTTTTTATAAACAACAAAACAAAAAGGTTATTGTTATGTGTTTTGCAGCCAAAAAAAAAAATTACATAAAAAAAACAACAGCTTAAAAAAAAAATATGCATGCCATTTAATTTGAAACACAGACACTAATAAATGATTTTATCTAAAAGGGACCATATTTTCAAAAGAATGTGTGAAACATCACATATGTTAAAGCTGCAAATATGTAATGTTTTAATAGTTTTAATAGTATATAAACATAAAATATACTGAATTCAACATAAAAATGTACACATACAATTTATAGGCATACAGTTAAAATATAACGTGGTTTAAAGTGTTATAAATAACAGTAGTTAGCTGTGAAGTTTTGTTGACAAGTATGACGAGGTAATGACCTATCGAACAGAATTTGTAAATTATGCTACTTAAAAGTTTAAGGTGACAAAATATTACATGAAAACACTTATAAATTGTTCCTGTAAATCAAAATAGGAAGATATTTGTTATAATTGCAACATCTACCCATTTAACGGAAATAATTTACTATTGCCAAGATGACATAATCGTGTATGTACTAGTACGCATTTATTGTGGTGGTTATCTCCCTTTCACCAGTACGCATAAGTAAAATAAATGTACATCAATAGTAAAAAGGCTGGAAACTTGCCAGATTATAATTGTTTTCATATTTGTGCTTGGCATAAGTGTTTCGAGTTTCTGCTTTGTAGGCTATCTACAAAAAAAATAGTTTAAAAACTTTCTACATAAAATGTAATTTTTTGGGGGGTATATTATAAAGAAATGATTTTCTGTTTCTTAATAAACAGGCTAGGTGTCAAATCAATAATTATGTAACTGGAAGATTACATGTATGTGACTGTTCCTCGTTGTCCAATCTATTTTGCTAAATATTTTATTATATTTAGGTATTACTGTCAATAAAGCTATCTGTACTATTAGGTTGTTGAACTTTTATGTCTGATAAAATATCCAAAGTAACATTATTAATTCCATGTTGATATGTTACCAAACCTCATGATCATTTTGTTATTAAAGAGACAAAGATGTTTAAATTTTATTGGCCATTGTAAAACGATACCATTTTTAGAAATTTCGGAAGATAATAAAAAATATGGACCGTAAGAATTTGGATTTCCAGGAGATAACAGTGTGGCTTTCCACTGGAAGTAATTGATACTGTTTTTAATATATACATGTATTTGCTAAACGTCAGGATAACCTGTGCATGTTTTATACATTGTGGTATTCCATAAACATTGTGTTAGTGATTAAATTCACCTTCAGTAGGGCTCATAGCGGAGTAATACATGTTTTATTAATAGAATTATATAATCTCGTCTGAATAAGCACTTTTTCATATATACAACGCATGTACAACATACTAAAAGTTCTCTACAATAAAACAACCTTAATCAAATTAAAGATATAGTTACATGTATCAGATAGAGAAAGATACAAAGACAAAACATCGTCTATTTTATTTGATATTTAAAGCAAGATGCCAACAGATTCATGACTATTTTCATGGAATATTTAAAGCAGCATGTCTACAGATTCGCGTTAAATTTTAATTAAAATTTTGAATATGTATGTAAAAGTAAAATAATGTGACAGAGAACAATGTAAGTAATTTACACACTGCAAACGGCACTTACAATCCGCGCAAATTACCTAAATGAGGTCAAAATAAAAAAAAATAGCCCTTACTGCTTTCGTCACGCAGTAGAGATATGGCGATAAATACTGCAAATCAGTCATTAATCGCACATAACATATAAATTATTACTTGAATCTTTTTTTATTTTTTAAACTCTTAGTACATGTTACTTAAGTTTGAGTATTTGAAACATTTTGGCTCTTCTGGAGGCATGCAACTATATATATATCTAACAATGAAATGACTAGAAGCTGTAACATGTGCAACCTATTCGAACCAATTTTGACTATACATGTAATATGTCGTTTACAATTCCGTTACCTGTAGTAACTGAATAATAATAAATCATGTATACTAATTCGTTGGGGAATTAATTTCGTGGTAAATGTGGATATGTTCATCCACTAATTTAAGATCCAAGAAATTTTCTTACATCTGCTATTAGATTATTTTTGAAAAACGTTATATGAATTTCACTTATTAAATTTGAAAAAAATATATCACAAAATCCATGAATTTAAAGGGAGACACACGCAAAATTGTCATTTCTTAGTTTTGAATTTTTCATTCATTATTCTGTAAAATGTCCTCAAAATTAAGACAACAAACTATCATAGGAACAAAACGTTTCTCCTTACATAGAACAAAATGGCGGTTTCCTAACTTGACCCACGTGGGTCAGGTTAGAGCGTTAAGACTTCACAATAATTGCCACAGACGTTAAAGTCAGTTGCACTTGTTTCAATCATACAATATGCACAGTATCTGTTATTATAACTTCCAGGGTTTTTTTAAGTCACATGACTTGTTTTAAAACCACTCGACGATTCTGTCGGTGTCTAAATTTCGTTCAATATAAAAAGATTAATTCACGCTATAAACCCAAAATATACAGAAATTATGCAGAAATTCATGCTGAGACTTTTAAAAAGTGTAATTTTAGTGTGATTTGAGTACATAAAATGAATTTAATATTTTTGACACTAATTTGCCTTAGTATCCCTTCAAGAACAAACACAATTTTCTTTTTTTGACAAAGCCCATGAAATTTCATGCCCACGAAATTAAGGGAATTCACAGTACAAATATTGTTACACTGCATATTTACAATTTGAGCGTACAGTCAATATTTTCACGGACAAACTAGGTCACCAATGTGGTTACTCAATTTGACTGTATCTTACGTCCTTGCCCACCAGAGTTTCTGTCAAAAACGTCTCGATGCCTATTGCAGCTTCTTGATTCATTGTACAATCATATATTCCTATTTCGGACAGAAAAGCGATATCAAATATTCCGCCAAGGTCCTTGAAAACTGGTCCCGTCAACACTAGTTCACTGGACTGATTTGGCAGGGCATGAATGTCTTTGTGGTGGAAAATAAGCACAGATACGCTTGATGACACTGAAAACACGACATAAATAATTGGTTTTGGAATAAAAAAAACATAAAGGGAAAATCAGCATGTTTTTCTACTTTCTTTCTTTCCTACTTTCTTTTTTTCTTTCTTTTTTTTTCTTTCTTTCTGACAATGTCTGAACATTGAAAGTTTTATCACAATTTGAACATTAAAAGTTTTATCACAATTGTCTGAAAAAAATATACAATATTATCTCTTTTTAGTTTAAAATCGGGTGAATTTTATGTAATAATTGAATAACCACTGAATTTAAGTAAGATATCTGGATCAAAACCGTAAGTTACTGGAACAACAATACAAAAAAGCTAGAACTACAGACAAAATAAAGCTAGAACTACAGATAAAATTAAGTTAAAACTATTTGTAAGAAAAAGCTAAAACTAAGAACAAAATAAAGCTAGAACTACAAGACAAAATAAAGCTAGAACTATTGACAAAATAAAGCTAAAACTGCACAAAAAAGCTAAAAATACAGACAAAATAAAAATTGAACTAAAACGCAAAAGAACTAGAACTTACGAGAAAATGAAAAAGAACCAACTTGAATATGCGTTTTGCACATTGTGCGAAACAGTAAAGGTTTTGAACGCTGTTATATAAGAAAAACACACGAATTAATGTACCATTTAAATCCTGCAGGATAGAACTAACATCTGCCCCGAGTCTGCTCGCATTTATACAAAGTACAAACAAGGGTAATTCTGGATTAACATCGTCTTTGTTCTGACAAACAATGAATTGTAATTTTCGTCTTTCCACATTTAGTTGCTTCACCAACATTTTCCGCAGTTCATCTATAATGTTAGACACCATTTCACCCTTCACTTGGTAATAGACCTGAATAGAAACTAAACAAAAACTATTACATTAAAATTTCACATTATCCTATTAAATCTTAAGTTCATAAAACACACATGCTATACAAAATAAGCTTATAATTTACAAACGTTTTAGTGTAGAAGTTCAAATGCCCCTTACCAAAGTGTTGCATTACATCAGAATCCTAAGTATATGTAAATAAAATTTCTAACAAAGACAATATTTTCTTATCTCATTTAACATGTAAGTGGGATGGATATTTAGTTAATTATAATAATAATACAAAAACATGGACATTTCTCTCCGTATTTTATATATTTATATATAAAAAATAACCGAAACATTTCCGTGACTTAGTTGTTGAAATGACCAACTGAGTATATTGGTATATACAACAAAAGCATCCTTATTGAATACAGAATATTACACAAAATGTATTTACGTAACAGGTCAATTAAGATGTCCGACACATTGTCTTTCTTCCTCGCATTTCTGCGTCACAAAGTCGCATTCAAATGCACTATAAAAATAAGGTTACCTGGTCGATTTTCCTTAATGTCTTTCGCTTGTCGCTCAAACTCTGCCTTTTCTGTTTTTAACACTATAATTATATTCTCCAACGACTCTTTTTCATTTTCATAATCCTTTAATTTAATTGACTTTTCGTTATTGTCATGTTGAAGCCTTTTATTTTGCTCCTCAAGATTTTCTATTCTGTCCTTCAGTTTCTCAACGCTGTCTCCTGCAATATGTTCAACGTTATCGTCTGCGTCATACTCAACGCTGTCATCTGCACGATTTGAAATTCCGCGTTGCTCCTCATTCTGTTTAAATTCATTTAAGTTAATGTCAAATTTTTTGAAGATAACAACTGCTTGTTCGTTAAGAAATTTGAAGGAACTATCCAGAAGCTGACATTGTTGTTGAAGGGAAGTCTGAAAATATATACACATTTCCTTTTTTTCTTTTTTTGTTTCATACAGATCTAATCACAGTATAAGTATTAATTGTAAAGATGTGTAAATTTTTCTGTGTTTTGATACATGTCTCACGCTCACAAACACAGTGTATGATCCTTATATAAAATGTGTTGTATGACGTAATCCGGAAGGACGTTTCTAACGTAATGCATTAAAGGATTTATGATACATTTAAAAAGGAAAGATATACAATCACAAATATTTTTTTTTACCGATAATAAAAGCGACCTGAAAGCATATACGTAGCACAACCCTTTTTAAAGCAGTTACTATAACTTTTCTTTATTCAGGGGGGCATTGCATAAGAAAACACATTTTTACGAGTAACAATTCATATTTATGTAATTGTTACAGAATAATTGTTAACGCTACAGTATAGTAAACGACATTTTAAAGTTTGTATTTTAACATTAACGATGTTTGAGTAATAAACCTATTTATGTGCAGCTTCTGAAATCAGTACTACTATTTAGTTCCAAAAATCGAAAAAAAACCTGTAAAAGGGAATAACTTATACGATGTTATTATGAAAATATAAAATGGATTGTCTCCCATACACTAGAACCATTTTAAGTTTACTGTCTTAAGAAATAAACCGTTTACCGAAATGACTCTGAAAAAACGAAGCTTCATTTATTTATAAAAGCACGAACTTTAATTTCATGTTCGTACACGTGAACTATCTTCTTAAATTAGAAAAATCAATTACCCCCCTCTCCCCATCCCTCCCCTTACATGAGATTCGTTTGTTATTGGAGAAATTAGTTTTCAGCTATCGTAAATTAGATGAATTGGATGTTTTACGCATCTACAAATATCATAATGGTTACTTTAGATATTAATTGATACATACTCACAAGAAAATTATTACTATGTTATTTGACCCAGATTGATATATATTAATTATACACAACACCATGTTGAATGACATTTTGTGTTGTTCTTTATGTCAGGGACGAACGGGCACCTAAGAAGAACCAGCGACGGTTTATACTCTATCTGGATAGATTCCTCAGCTGAATGAATCTAAAGTAACTGATCGGATTCGAACCAACATCGGTGATGGGCAAACGCTTTGAAGTCTACGACCTCTACCACTTGCCCATGGACGCCCCTTGTTAAAGGATGTATACCACGGTTTTGCAATGCAAAAACATGGCTATGTAGCCATTTAGGAGTAAAGTTAATATACATGATAGTAATTAACATACAATTCACCTGTACACTAGAAAGGAGATCTTGTGTGTGTCTCTGCCATTTACCCGAAAACTCTCGTATACTTTCAATCTCTGTTACATTTATTTGTTTTAAAGAATCTGAAGTATCTGAAAAGACAAAACATGTTTACGTTCTTAAAGATTTAGAGAAAATAATTTGATTGCAATTTAGTTTAATTTTTTCTTTTTATGCTGAGTAAATTTATTCTAGTCAAACAATTTCGGCACATAATAGAAGCCAATTGTTCTTGCTGGACTTGAATATAAAAAAGTAAAGAGATTTTGCTGTTGTGAGTTTTTGCAGCTTTTAATTACAAATATTAAACAAAACTGAACAAAACAGAAAAATACGTGTAATATCTTTTTAAGCGTTTTTTTAATGAAAGGCGTTTGAAAAGTCCTTACCATAAATTCGAGCCAACTCATTTACATCAAGACATAGGAGTTTAATATGAGCACGCTGCGTTTTCACAGTGGTTTTAATAACATTTATTTGTTCTCCGTGTCTTTTCAAGCAACACTAAAATTAAAAAAGGTACAAAATTTTCAAATATGAAGATCAAATAGCATACACCAATAGAATGGAATTTGATTTCAAATACAAACTTACAGTATTGTAAGTTTGTATTTGAAATCAAAATCCATTCTATTTGTGTACTTAAATCTTATCATTAAATGGGAATGGGAATTCCCTACAAGTTTATATAGGATACGAATTGATCAGTGATCTCACGACACTAAGTACCGCGGTTAAAGTGATATAGTTTATAGTCTATACATGTATACACAAATACTCAAGATAGAATAAACAACAGGCGACAGTTGATTACTACCGATCTATAACTATAAATAGCCATATCACTCTACTCAACAACAACGTTTAACTAATTATAATTGTAAAAAAAGGTTGTTGGGGGGGAGCGAGGGCTAGGGTGTGCTACATATGTAGTTACTGACTTGTCTACGCGCTGGACAATTGATCTATTATACAAAGTCAATGAGCAAAGGCAAGAAAATTCTTACGTTTATCATACGAGCAGGTCCTTCAATATTATTTTGCCTTGACTGGCTGGTTCCCATATTCCTTTCGAGTCTAACTATCCATCTATCATAGCTTTTGGTTAAAAAAGTGTCATTTAAGTATTTACGATAACACTTCGTACTTTCGGTTTCAAAATGAGGCCGACCGTTCAGTGCCGTAGCCACACTAAGGCGACCCGAGTCATTTGTCTCGTTTAATGTTTAAAAAGTTAAGAAATACATCAGGTAGAAAAATCGGTCTTGAAAATGAAAAAAGAAGACGAAAAAAAGAGCCTCCAATATAAGATCTGGAATGAAACAAATAAGGCTTTCTGTACAAAAGTGGAGACGGTAATTACGAGTCAATACAAGATGGAAAAATATATCAAAATGTTAATAATCCAATGCCGTTTTGAAATATGTGATAAAGCGTATGATCCAAACATTCACACATTTATGTGTCGCCACTTCGGACATATATGGATCACTTCTCCGTCGTCTGTCCGTCCGTTTGTCTGTCTGTTAGTTCGTCTGTCACAAAACTTGTACCGGACTACTCCTCATAAACTACTGGTGTAATTTGATCCAAACTTTACAGGAATGATCAGTACAAAGTCTTGTTTTGCATAACATGAGCATTTTCCGGTTCAATGATTTTTGTCCGAGTTATGGCCCTTATATAATTTTTATTTTAAAGTTTGTCCGGACTTCTCCTCTTATATGACTAATGCAATTTCATGATATGTAGGTCAAGCACTTGCACGGGTTTTTCGGTTGAATGATTTTTTGGCCGAGTTATGGCCCTTTGATAAAAAATAAGTGTTTTTTTCTGTGTGTTGCCAGATAAACAAAAGCTTGCCCGGACTACTTCTCAAAAACTACTGGTGCAAAGGCTACACAAAGATGCTGTCAATTATCCGTGATGATAAACACCATTCATATCCAATGCCATTTCAATTATCATTAATGTTGTTGAATATTTTAATATAAAGCGCCAAGTTTGAACGAACGTAATGTCCCGGTGGTGATCTTGATCCCGTGACCTCTTAGTTGAGGCTATCTAATTACCATAATATTAAAGGCTATAAATCTCTATCTTATGAAATATTTTAATAAAATTTATCAACAGTAAAATTATATAGGTCCCATTATTATATGGTTGATTCCCAAATAAAGATGTAGAAAAATCGGTCTTGAAAATGAAAAAGAAGACGAAAAAAGGAGCCTCCAATATAAGATCTGGAATGAAACAAATAAGGCTTTCTGTTCAAAAGTGGAGACGGTAATTACGAGTCAATACAAGATGGAAAAATATATCAAAATGTTAATAATCCAATGTCGTTTTGAAATATGTGATAAAGCGTATGATCCAAACATTCACACATTTATGTGTCGCCACTTCGGACATATATGGATCACTTCTCCGTCGTCTGTCCGCCCGTTTGTCTGTCTGTTAGTTCGTCTGTCACAAAACTTGTCCGGACTACTCCTCATAAACTACTGGTGTAATTTGATCCAAACTTTACAGGAATGATCAGTACAAAGTCTTGTTTTGCATAACATGAGCATTTTCCGGTTCAATGATTTTTGTCCGAGTTATGGCCCTTATATAATTTTTATTTTAAAGTTTGTCCGGACTTCTCCTCTTATATGACTAATGCAATTTCATGATATGTAGGTCAAGCACTTGCACGGGTTTTTCGGTTGAATGATTTTTTGGCCGAGTTATGGCCCTTTAATAAAAAAATAAGTGTTTTTTTCTGTGTGTTGCCAGATAAACAAAAGCTTGCCCGGACTACTTCTCAAAAACTACTGGTGCAAAGGCTACACAAAGATGCTGTCAATTATCCGAGATGATAAACACCATTCATATCCAATGCCATTTCAATTATCATTAATGTTGTTGAATATTTTAATATAAAGCGCCAAGTTTGAACGAACGTAATGTCCCGGTGGTGATCTTGATCCCGTGACCTCTTAGTTGAGGCTATCTAATTACCATAATATTAAAGGCTATAAATCTCTATCTTATGAAATATTTTAATAAAATTTATCAACAGTAAAAAATATAGAGGTCCCATTATTATATGGTTGATTCCCAAATAAAGATGTAGAAAAATCGGTTTTGAAAATGAAAAAGAAGACGAAAGAAAAAGCCTCCAATATAAGATCTGGAATGAAACAAATAAGGCTTTCTGTTCAAAAGTGGAGACGGTAATTACGAGTCAATACAAGATGGAAAAATATATCAAAATGTTAATAATCCAATGTCGTTTTGAAATATGTGATAAAGCGTATGATCCAAACATTCACACATTTATGTGTCGCCACTTCGGACATATATGGATCACTTCTCCGTCGTCTGTCCGTCCGTTTGTCTGTCTGTTAGTTCGTCTGTCACAAAACTTGTCCGGACTACTCCTCATAAACTACTGGTGTAATTTGATCCAAACTTTACAGGAATGATCAGTACAAAGTCTTGTTTTGCATAACATGAGCATTTTCCGGTTCAATGATTTTTGTCCGAGTTATGGCCCTTATATAATTTTTATTTTAAAGTTTGTCCGGACTTCTCCTCTTATATGACTAATGCAATTTCATGATATGTAGGTCAAGCACTTGCACGGGTTTTTCGGTTGAATGATTTTTTGGCCGAGTTATGGCCCTTTAATAAAAAATAAGTGTTTTTTTCTGTGTGTTGCCAGATAAACAAAAGCTTGCCCGGACTACTTCTCAAAAACTACTGGTGCAAAGGCTACATAAAGATGCTACCAATTATCCGTGATGATAAACACCATTCATATCAAATGTCATTTCGATTATCATTTATTTCGTTGAATATTTTAATAAAAAGCGCCAAGTTTGAACGAACGTAATGTCCCGGTGGTAATCTTGAACCCGTGACCTCTTAGTTGAGGCTATCTAATTACCATAATATTAAAGGCTTTAAATCTATATCTTATGAAATATTTTAATAAAATTTATCAACAGTAAAATTATATAGGTCCCATTATTAAAGGTTGATTCCCAAATAAAGATGTAACATAGAATGTTTCTATTATTTAATACACATGAAAAATGTACGTAAACAGAATAAAAAGTTCCGGAACAATTTTGCTATTTTAAGTAAGTTTCTATCCGTTTAGCAAACTTTTATGCATGCGCAATTCGCCTTTTAGGCATGCAATAATGTTTGGTACTCTGCATTATCAACAATGATCATTTAAGATACTGCTTAAGTTCGGAATCATGGTAAACGTGCTGATATTATTGTACATGTCAAGTTGACAATAAATGAATACTTACAATAGAATTTATTTATTACAATCAATATTCATTCTTCACCTCCTGGCATGCAACTTATTCTATCCATGCGACTGTGCCTTATGACCTTCTGATTATGATCTGCACTATTCGTATTTCAGTTAATACAAAAACAACAACAATACAGATTTCGAAATCATCTTTAAATAATAAGCAAAACGACCCGATCCATGCTATTTTTTGTGAAAATTTTGAAAATGTATTGAGAAGTAAAATATTATGAAATAACCAAACGGATGCAATTTACACATTATCAATGACACATAGCTTGCAACACACGTAATTTACTAAAAAGAGGTCAAAATATGTAAAAAAAAATAACCCTTACTGCGTTAGTAACGCAGTAGAAATGAGGTAACAAATACTAAAAAATCAGTCATCACTGGCACATAAAACACGATAATTATTATTTGAATCTTGTATCTTTTTACTTTATTTAAGCTCTTAGTACAATTTGTTTTCCAGGTTGATTTTGTTGTAATAGTTTGGCTTATCTGGAGGCATTTAGCTTTATAATATTGAGCTTGGTAAGGTTTAGATGGTTTTATGAAAAATTGTTCCTGTCGTATAGGATAAATCAATATTTATATTGATAATCATTGTTCGTCTACAAAAGGGATAAATGTATTCAATTTTATAATCGTAATTTATAACATTTTTCAATGACTGTGTATTGTAACCAGGCTTTCAAATTAAGGGATTCACTATTGTATTAATATAAATATTTTTCTCAATCTGTATTGTTTTAATGTAACTTGTGTGCATATTTTTTATCTTTGTTTGTAACATTCACACGAATTATATGTTAAGGAAATATTATTTCATTCATTACATGTATTTTCTTCCATATGTCATACCAATTGTAAACATGTATATGTATTTTTTTCATTGGTTTAACAACGATGTGTTTGTAATGTTAAAGTCAAATAAAATATAATTATGTTCTGTTCTGTTAACGGTGACCGCTAATATGGCTAAATTTAGTTTCGATGAACAATGACCATCGCATAACACATTTAAGATGTTTTTTGTTGTTTTTTTTTTTTTTTTTTTTTGCAGTAACATGCATGCATCTTTGCAATTTGCATAAAATAAACGAGTAAATATAAACATAAAAGAGATCTTAGACACGTTTATTGAAAATTGTTATAATCATGATAATGTATTGAAAGTGATACTTAAATATCTCAGCCAATATAACTATTTACAGTAAACGCACTTAAAACAACTCTCATATAAAAAGAAAAAAGGGAAAATAAACTTCTACATTGAAACATATTCGTACAGTACTACTGTAACATGGAACCCACAATTAGCTTATAGGATTTAAAAGATGATAATTGATAAAAAAAAGTGTCATCACTTTGTAAGAAAACCTGGATGTTTGAAACCTTTAAATAATGATGAAGTATAATATTAAAACAATACATGTTGTTGTATCCAGACAAATACCCACGAAGTCGTCAACTTACAGTTTAGAAACTAATTACCAGAGTTTTCCGTTAGAATACGTAACCAACAAAAATGTTTAATGACTAGAATGTTTGCATGTTATAAGGTGATCATAGACGTTTACAACTATCGGTAGCCTGGGTTCAAATCTGTCCATTTCTTTATGTGCTTCTGTTCGGCAAATCGACGTTGATATTATCAAAAGACGATCGAGTATGAAATAGCGCGTATGTTATTAATAAGCAAAAAAATATCAACGACTGAATCCCAGGCTAAACTATCGGCACTTGATGTTTTTATCTCTTGTCCCTTCTTTATCTTATAATTTTATATCAGTACACACGATCCTATCTTGACAGTACAGTAGACCTTTTATCATTAGTAGGGTTCTTAGCTAGACAATTTTCCTTTGATACATAACAAATGAAGTCAATAATCGACTTAATGGCAAGTGAGTTCATATTACAAACGTATATCCCTTTATCGGAAAGAAATGCCATGTCATAGATGCCGCGAAGAGCCTTGAACTCAGGCCCTGTCAGTACTCGATCACTCGTCTGATTCGGTAAAGCGTGCACATCTTTATGGTGGAATATCAGCAATACTGTGTTCTCCTTCTCTGAAATAGAAAATAGTATTATTTCATATCACATACTCTTGACCTCTTGACTAGCCTAAAAAATGCGTCCGCATTTGTTTAGAATGCATGATGAAATGGTAAGCATACTGAACCGGCGTTTAATAGGCCCTACTACAGCATTTTATTTCCTGCGGATTTTTTCTATGTATACAGTGTCTATTTTAGGAGTTCGGATGGGAGAGTCACTCATATTTCTGAGCATTCCCCCCTATTTTTATAGGCAGGGGGAAAAATTTACATAGAGAAATAAAGAAGGAAAAAGATCAACAAATTTAATAAATTCTCAATTTTTGATAACCCCCCACCACCGTGTTTCGATTCCTAGAATAAACACGTTAAATAATTAAATAGATAATTATACGTACGGAGAACTCCCTGAATAGCATTCAAGGCGTCTGTTCCTAGTCTCGATGAACTCGTGCATAATATAAGCAACGGCTGATCTGGTTGAATTTGGTAAGACGTTTCGCATGTAACCACATCCAGCTCTTTGTTATCTTGTGCAAGACAGGTTTTTAACTTGCTGAGCAGATCTTCACGAATATGAGTTATCAGTTCCCCTCTTTTCTGATGATATAACTGAACTGTGTGTCAAGAAAAAAAAGAAAGTACAATGTTTTGCAATTCGCAAACAAGAGAGTCGTGTAAGCCCAGGATCGCTCAGCTAAGATACACTGCCTGAAATGTTATTATATGATAATTCTGTTATCAAGAAGTAGGTAATTTGGTCACATCTAGGCAGTGGCATTTTTACCAAAGGCCATGCATGGTTCATTTGACTGAAGTCATGGTTTATTTACTTCAGTTGAGTGACTTATGCATTAGAATGGTATCATTTTTATACGTTTATATACGTTTTTTTGGAGGTATATGGAAGGGACATTTCTGTGAAGTCTAATCAAAATCTTCCTTTTGGTTTAAAAACGAAATATAATGAACAAAAGGTGATGCACAACGAAAATCATGCAATCCCCAAACTCTCTCCTGAACATTTAAGATCAGCTTAAATCCCTTTGCTATGTCATATCAAACCAGACGCTATGCTATATAATCATCAAAAATCACTCTAAAGATTGCAGACTGATTGATTTTAACCAAAAACTATAGACTAGAGACTTACCTGGTAATTTTTCAATATGGGGCTGTTTACTTTCCAACTCGCCCTTCAGCATTTCTACTTCCTCTTGCAAAGCTTTAATCGTGGCATCTCTTTCTTGAATTTCTTTATTTGAAACTGCTAAATCTACCTGAAGTTCATCGTTTATGTTCGTTAACTCTTTCATTTCTTCTCCAAGATCATCTGATTCGGGATCCACACTATATCCTGATTCGTCTCCTGATTCTACTGTTGTTTTCTCAGGACCCTTGACCTTTTGTTTCTTTTGAAAGTCAGCAAGATATCTATCTATACTTAAATTTTGTATACCTTTTAATTGTTGCATAAACGGTTTAAACTCCGGCTTTTCTCTGATCAGTTGCATAAACGAACTTACTCCTTGCAATGATGAAAACTTCTGATTGTATAATGAGGTCTGTATGACATAAAAAAACAACAACAACAACATATTATATGTATGGGAATAATTTCAAATGCATGTATATGGCATTAAAGCAGAAAAAAGACTTTTATACCAAGACTTAATATCGTTTATCTTGAATAAATTTATTCACTGTAAGAAAACTCTTACTCCTTGCAAAACATGATTTCAAATGACTATATGTAATATATTTGTCAACTAAATTACATATACATGTACTATACGTGCCAGATAAAAAAAATGACCAAAAAAGGAAACACAAAAAAAAAACAATAGATACTGATAGAAAACTGAAATACAAATTCGTGTTTTAAGTACCAGATAGTGTAATTACCTCAATGTTCTCAAGTAATTCCTTAGTCAAACATACAGCCCTCTGCTTTCCCTCTATATTTTTAGACACTAAAAATAAAAAATCATTTTAAAATAATAAATTCATTTCAATATACATATTACTTTCAAATTACATGTAACTATCATTGTAATAGAATTTATATAACCTAAAACACGTGGTGAAAGAATCATTAGAAAATTCTGAATCGATCCGGCTCCAAAAAGTTTCGAATGACCTAAACTTTGCTTTAGCTAATCATCAAGCTATTTACTTTCTAAAACCGCAAAAGCTCAATTGACATGTTACATGTAATCATGTACGTTCACGGCGATAAGGGGTTTAAATTCTAGAACTGAAAAATTAACTTTCTTTTAAATTACAATTATATTCCATTTCAAAATTATAAGTATCTCGACATCTTAAATATAACATATTAATTACTAGAACAGATGTCCCAGATTTTTCCCTATCACGTTTTTTTATATAGAACCACAAAATAAATTTCGTCATTTTCGAGACAATGGTCCTTAAATTTGTGCACTTGCTGTGGCGATTTTATTTTGTCTCCAAAAATAAAATTTCTATCATTTAATTATATGAACATCTGGGAATGGGGATCAATTATTGAACTGACACAAACTACATCTTTTTAAAAACAACTTGTAGAAATGCATTTCATACCGTATATATGCTTAAATCTCGTTTTCAAAATGAATAACCTTACAAAATTTACAGATTTATACAATGGACAAGTAAGAAAATGTGAAAATTACTGGCAAATTCTTTATAGTTTTTACTTATTTATTATTCAACTGCCATACGTGAAATAATTTACGTCATTTCAAATATTAACAATTTATTATGGACTCGTAAATGATTTTTCAATTGTCCCGTTAGTGACCAAATTTCCAGATGCTATGGATTGACATAAAGAAATGTTAATACTTCGGGTAATATATTTATAATGATTTGACCTTAGCCTCACTATGGCGAACATTTGTAAGTTACATAACAATCCCCCATGAATGTAGAACTTATGCTTCTTTCAAGCATTTTTCAATAACCTCTAAATGCAACCTAAACCTTTGACCTAGAAACCTTGTTCATGCAAGTGACACTATGAAGTTTTATTAGAATTCCTACATGCGTGTAGAAGATGTACTCTGGACAAAATCTCTATATTTTGTCATCTTTAGTGTTCACACCCGTAGTCATATTAATAACCATTTGTATTTCAATGCATCAATAAATGATGACTAAACGGTTCAAATACACATTTTCATATTTTTTTATCTTAACTTTGATCCCTAAGTGAGACTTTGACCTTGGCTGCTGGGATCTGAACCTGAACAATTCGATTCACAATGGTTAACATTTGTGCCAAGTTATATTGAAATCCCTCTAAGCATGTTGAAGATTTGCTCCAGACAAACGTTTTCAATGACCTCTTAGTGTGACCTCGACCTTTAACCTAGAGACCTGGTTCATGCGCATAACACTGCTTCTTATAGTGGAGAATATTTCTATAGAGATTTATTAGAATCTCTCCTTGCGTGTATGAGATATGCACTGGACAAAATCTCTATATTTTATTACCTTGAGTGACCTTGACCTTGCATATCTTAAACGAAATTACATGTTCACACAAGAAGTAATGATAATGACCATTTCAATCCTCAATAATTGATGACTTAATTGTCCGCAAACACATTTTCATATATTTATCTGAACTTTGACCCCTTTGTGTGACCTTGACCTTGGCCGCCAGCTATATGTTACGAGCGCGTATAAAATTGTGTACAAACAGGTGTGTATCGCCAAGTTGTGAAAGCCCTAGTGCATGATAGGTAACTGTATTGTTCATCGCAAACGTAGGATGCATAAATCAAATATCAACAAATGTTACAAATATTTCCGTCCGTGATATAAAAGAAAATTATTATTTTGATACTAAAGTTCAAGGAGTAATTGCTAGAAATAATACGTATATCATCAAATGAAATAAAATATGAAACAGACATATACAGTACCTGAATCTAAGTCATTAAGCTGGATAAGAAGAAGCTGGACTGTCACATGAACATTGTCGACCGATGAGGCAAGACCAGACAGAGCTGTGTCTAGTTGCATCAATGCTTTCTGTAAGAAATCCACAATATACGTTATGACATGTTAACTGTTATCTTTTGACTTTTTGTAATTATTTTCTTAACTTTGTGTGTATCTTCATAATTTCACCACTGTTAAAATTTGCGCCTTTTCCCTTTCAGAATCTGTAACAAACACCCCCCCCCCCCCGCCCCTTTCGTGTTTTAATGTAAATTGTCTTTTCGCTCTGCTAAATTGTAAATTGCTAAAAGAAAAGGCGAAAAGGCGCTACACAACACATTTAACGAGTTAGAGCCACCGTCGAACGGGGGCAACGCTGGTTTTTTTTTTACTTTTTCTAAGACCAAACAAATGAATGGTTTAAACAAATTTCAAAAAAGAAAATTAAAGGAAAAACGTTTTTCCTTATTTTAATTTTAATAGGTCTGTCTAGTCACATTTGTTGTTTTGTCCAAGTATGAATCCTTTCCATAAATAAACGGCAAAGTTAAGAAAATATAATCAAAATTCAATCATTTGATGGCCAACGTCAACTACATAAAAAATTATGACAACTGTTCTAAAATTCATGGTCACTTTAAGCCCAAAGTTAAGTTCAGTTCAAGCTTTTAGAAGGTCTTGTCCAAGATGTTACTTTGTCCAAGTATGAAAATAATCTATTTATTAATTGGTAAGCTACAGCCAGTTATAGCGATAATCAGTGAAAATATATGAGCCGCGTCAGTTAAGTTAAGTTCGGTGTGGTACAATATACATAACAAATAAAAAAACAATGGGTTTGCGACTAGCATGGATCCAGACCAGCCTCCGCATCCGCGCAGTCTGATCAGGATCCATGCTGTTCGCTTACAACTCTATAACAAGTAGAGAAACTGATAGCGAACAGCATGGATCCTGATCAGACTGTGCGGTTGCGCAGGCTGGTCTGGATCCATGCTGGTCGCAAACCCATTATGTTGGTTTTGTCATGACGCGGCTCATATATCAATGTTCATGATGTAACAGTTGTATTCCGTTTTTACCTCACATTTCTCAATAAAGTTGTCTGTCTTTGATAGAAACAAGCCCATTTTGTTGTGTTTTTGTTGTGTTTTTTGTACTTGAAGAATCCTTTATCTGTAAAACATACAAAAAAGAATTAAAAACAAAAACTTTTTAAACATAATAATAAAAAGAGCATTTACTTGCAATCATAAAATTCTACGTACTGTAATCGAATTTACATGTACTATTTTTATATATCATACATCTCCATGCCAGACCAACGGACGAACAGGTAAGATAAGAAACATCCTAACCAACAAACTAATTACATAAATATAGGATATTTAAGTTTTTCTATAAATATTTTCCTATTAATACAGGATTTACTTTCATCTTGTTGTATGAAAATTATCAAATTTCACTCGTGGCTACTGACACTCGTGAAATATTTATTTTCATACCACTCGATTAAAATAAACCCTGTTTTACTATTTATCAATCTAATGAATACATGTATGAAGAATCCCTTTTAATTTTGGTTATTGGCTGAATTTAGAAGAAAGTAGTCCGGCAAGAAACCAGTGAAAATACGGAAGTATGTTTCACTGCATTGGAAAATATTTTCTACAGTGAAAATACGAAAAATAAAAATACGCATTTTATTTCGGCAATATTTTTTCATTTATAAGTATATAATAAACAGTCATTCTGCTCATTTGTCTTAAAAATAAAGTAATTTTTATAATAATCTATTTTTAAAATAATATATAAATAATATTTTCCGTTGAAAATTAAGACAAAAATTACTACCCAGCACCCATACTTTTTATAATCTATATATTCATTTATATAACTCGCGTAGAGCAATTTAAATATTTCTCGTTAGTTACTGTAGTAATTAGTAATTTTACCATTGACAAGTGCAAACTTAATTCAAGTCAAGCAGTCTAGCTAAGCTCCATGCGCTCGTGTCGTCTGGATTTGTATATATTGGTCATTAAGAATATCAGAATTACCTTTTGCTGATAATTTCCAAATGATTCAATCACAGGAACTTGAAATTCTATCAAATAACCAATATTAATGATAATATCCAAATATACCCCTATATACTATAAATAAACACATAGTATATAGGGGGTATATTTGGATATTATCATTAATATTGGTTATTTGATAGAATTTTAAGTTCCTGTGATTCAATGTATACTTTTTTTTAAATTGGCGGGTATACTGCTGAGCATTATAAAAGACACCCGGGTGAGCTCCCGACAGGACAAATAACAGCCGTATATTCTGTATATACAATCATGTACACATTCTGTACACAGTCTACATTTTTATAATTTTGATGATAAAACAGCTGTTCATAACGGCCCATTAAAATCAAAACATGAAGAAAAAGAACAGAAAATGTTTACATGTTTTCATCTTTTTACAAACCATGCCTAAAACAGATGATAATTATTTTCAATCAATGGAATCATTTCTATTTATATTGAACAAATTCTAAATAAGACTAGCGTCACTGATTAAAATTGCGTGATGCGTAATAGATAATAAATGTTAGTAAGGTAAGCATGTACAAACATACATAAGTAGGTCAGACATATAACTTTAGTAAGACTTTTAACAAAAGAGGAACCTTTAAACGTGTACTACATGTATGCTTAACAAATCAAAACGAATGACTAACCTGGTGTTTTTCCCGTTTAACTTTGATTGAAAATAACCTTCTCTTTTTTCTTTTCAGTAAAATTGCATACTACTTTCGATTTAACTTCGGAAATTATGATATTCTAAAAATAGATGCATACCGATGCACGTGACGGGATGAATAATTCAATCTATTTATAGTGACAATCGCAACTTTTCGGTCCTTTCCGTAAGTATTCGGAAAGATTATAGACACAAACGAAATCTATTTATAGGTGTTACCGGAGCGTACCAAGGTAAGACGATTTCTGTAAACGTCATACCCTATGGATGTTTAAAAACGTTTATTTCAGGTAACGAAGATCGGATCGGTTTCCTTCAAGGAAGGAAGGAAGGAAGGAAGGAACTTATTTATTCATTTATTTGGCCTTTTTAATTAATTATTTTTTATCTTTATTCTTTTATGTTTTTTTTTTCAAACGCACAGTAACTGTTTGATGCTTTAGTGTCATATATACAAATGTACAATTTGCGCAAATGATAGTACACTTAATTGTTTGGTACGTGTACATGAAATACATTTTGAATACAGTGATATTATAACTTAAAAAGCTTTTGGCAAGTTATATGACCTAAATCATATATAAATTTTTATTTTCATATATAACCCGAGATGCCAAGCGAGGCTTATCCTGCAAATAGCCGTTTACATACGGCCATTACTATATAAACGTCACGCTTGTCCAATGAACAGCGACGTTACAAACATGCAGTATGGTAATGATTTACTAATGGAACTGAACTGGTCTTATCCTACATTGTGTTTATTATGCACATTTGATAAAAGTAAATTAATAACATAAAACATTATTGATAATTGAAATAATTTATTTACATATGTTTTCCTCACTATATTACAAATAACTATTGCCACACACCCTTTCTAGCTAGTGTCACTAAAAATTAATATCTTATAATTGGGTATTTAAAGTTTTGTTTTTGTATTCGCTGCGTTAGCAGTGAATACAGTTCTAACACAATTTGCGGGATTTCAATATAAGAACGGGTACCTAACAACGCAAAGTAGTTCTACACAGATTTTCTTGACACACACAAGTGATAAGATTTTGAATTGTCAGTAGTTCATTTTTGATTGTGTTATTTATATCGTATATTATTTGCATGTTTTCAGGATATAATCAGTAAAAAATATCATTAGTATTCATTCGCGTTAACTTTGAGTAAGGAAGTAGTTCGTACCAAAACAAAGTTTTCGACGCCACAGACACTTGGTGTATGGACCCCGCCCTTCTCCGCCCCTGAATATTAAAAACTAAAAGTATTGTTTATTACAAGAATAAGTTTTAAATTTGTGCTTATATTAGTATGAGACGGTTAAGTGTCTAACACATGAACAAGTTTGAATAGAATTTCATAACGTTTTAAAAAAGTCAATTTTTTTCCAACGCTTCAATGAAATTATGATATTCTAGGGACTTTTTTAAACGTGGTTAAAATAGCGGAAAACATGTTTTATGTTCAAGACATGTGACCAGGTCGTAATAATATGCAAAAATATTTTGACGTACGGTTTGCACGATAAAAATAGGCATGGTGTATACAAGTGCGGATCAAGAAGGGGAGCCACGCACATAACCCCAAGCGTCTGTGTTCGACGCTATTTTTGTATGTGAAAGCTGATCTCATCATTTTCTAAAAGTAGGTACAGAAAACTTACCAATATTATTTGAACTTAATGTAATCTGTTTTGGAATTCTTATTTGGATTTCATGATGTGTAACAGTGTTGATAATTCAGGTGTCTTGATATATTTTTTGTTGTTTGAGTTGTTTCCCTTGGTTTCCCGCAATATCAGTAGTTTTTTGTCTATGTTTAAGCGGCTTTGTTTGTAAAAAGTTCAAAGTGTTCCTAATTTATTGGAAATATGGATTATTGATAGTTGGTCAGTATTATTTTGAGTTGCATTTGGTTTAAATTAGTGTTTTAGAGAGTGTATGTCATAGATGACTTTTTAATTAAGTAATGAGTGTGGTCTGATTTGAAATGTCATCAGTTTTCGTGATTTGGAACCTTTGAGAATTGTTTTCAGAAAAATCCGTTAATCTAGCTCTCTGTTTACTTAATCTCACATTTTATTCATATCACTTTGCACACTGTGTTTATTATATTTTGCAGAAATTACAGCAGAGAGAGAGAGAGTAAGAGAGTTTGACAGTATGCGTGTTTGAAGAAGATAATGCTATTATTGGTACATTCAATTCCACGAACTGGTGAGTTTAGAATTTATTTATGATTATGATGTATTTTATAATAACTTCATTTAATGAACTTATGATTCATTGTGGCGGCCAATAGAAAGCATATAGCTATATTATATGTTAATATACCTACAGGTTAAGTAAGCTGTTCAATGACGTGTTGTAAATATTTAATACACCGATAAACACTTTCAGAACTAGCAGACGAGAGGCTTTTCTTATCAGTAGTTTCAGGAATAAAGAAAACTGGTTGTTTTCTCACTGTATAAATCGTATGTAAAATGGTCTGACATGTGTAGGTTTAACTGTTCATTTGAATACTTTGTGGAGTCAAAAGATGTGTTGAAGAATATATACTGTGACGAAGCCTTTAAGATCCAACGTTTGCTATTGGTGTAATACATTTTAAAATCGGACATTTTTAATCAGAACAAACTGGCAGTTTTGTTTAGCCATAAGAGATATCAATTTTTACTCAAAGATAAGGGAAGCAACTCGTATTTTTTCACTTGATATACCTCGGTTATTTACGTAGATCATATAGAAAGTGTTAATGGGTTAATTGTAATTGACCATAAATTTGGAGGTTTTTTATTTAAATGATAATTATGCATTTCAGACATAGGAAATTGATTTAACTCTATTTTTTATGTTGATGTAATTTGTTTAATTTCAGAGTGTTGATTTTCCTCGATTTCATTGACTCGATGATTCATTCTCTGATTGATGATTGTTGATTAAATGTTCTAATGATCAATCAACTTATTGATTTACTGATTGATTGGACATGTCATGGAGCTTAATATTAGATGGAGAAGTAACTTAGACGTCATACAGTTAAATTCAGTATTATTGGGGTTGTTCTAACGCAAGTTTTCATGTGTTTCGGGATTTTCCAAGATTTGATGCATCCTGGGTAATAGTAGCCAAAATACCGCCATATTGAATTCCAAGAGGAAACATTGACAAAAAAAGACGAAGCATTTTCTACTTACATAAGAAGCAATAGTTTATTTTAATATGTTAAACGTACCATACACACTTTTCCACACAGATATTTCTCAAAAAAAAAAAAACAATGTCGGCAGTAGTTCATGGATATAGCCGAAGTTTAACAAGAGTGCGAGAATCGGGACTAGTGGGAAAACCCTCTTATCACCGAAACGCACTGTGGATCTGAATCTGACTATCAACTACTTTCTGAGCTTCCTATCCATTGTATATATACCTGTGGACATGTAAGACGAATATATGTGAACTGTAAGATGTTGAAATGTGCAAAGTTGTTTGTTTAGAAGAGAAATACACAATTTTTGGAGAAACTTTTTTGTTTGAATGATCAAGGTATAAACACTTTTTGTAAATGAACATCAGGCTACCATTTTTTCATAGTAATGGCAGGGCTTCCATTATTGGAAGTTTGGGAGTCATTTCACTCCTTGAATTTGGCTTATGACTTCCAAAATGTTAATGCTTTTTTTCTTCTTTACCAATATTTTGTGACTTCCAATGTCAAGACATTTTGCAGTCTTTGACTTCCAAATTTTGGATCTTAATGGAAGCCCTGAATGCCAATGGACCTACATGTTTCACCTAAATTGTATTGGAAATATGTGAAAAACTTCCTTTTAAAAAGTTTCTAGCTGAAGTTAAGCAGAGAAACAGAATATTGCTATGTTGTTAAAAATTTCCAAGCCTTAGGTCACATATTCATGGAAAAATTCGAAGAAGGAAAATAGATTGTCGGGTGTATAGATTTCCAGTCTGCTTATCATTTACATACAATCTGGAAAACTTCAGTAGTGTCAACTGGGGTCAAAATTAATCCTGTCTAATGGTAATGTTTGTAAAAAGTTTAATGTATATATGTATTATAATAGAAATTAGATATATGTATGGATGTTTTTTGTGCAAACCAACACGTGAAAACCCTGGAACATCATTGCTAAAGCAATATTGTTAGGTACAATACCATACATTTTTAATTAGGCAAGAAAAGTACGGTAAAAATATCATTTACTATAGATTTAGAATGCAAAAAGATAAAATAACATTCCTCGCTTCTTAGTACAAAAAGTGCCATATCACTTTTATATTTATATTAATGTTTACTGCATAAAACACTTTCTTATTTTTCATTTTTAGCTAGACTATACAAAGTATATGGAGAGCCATCCTACTTGCCCCGGCGTCCGCGTCCTTATTCAGATTAAAGTTTTGGTTTTCCATATCATCAACCACATCTTATGTGACAAGGTTCATAACTCTAGCACCACTATTTTCAGATTTATCTCCCTTGAACTTAGAATTTTCCTTAAAAAAATATTATTTTCTATCATTACTTCCATATTTCTTAAGGGATCAACTTCATACTTCAAATATATGTTCCTTATCATCAACCACATCTTATGTGACCCAAGGTTCATTACTCTAGCACCAATATTTTCAAGTTTATCTCCTTCTTGAAGATAGAATTTTCCTAAAAAAAGTTATTTTAAGCTCGACTATTCCGATAAATTTAAGTAGAGTTTTATTGTGTTCACCAGTGTGCGTCATTGTTGTGTGTTCTGGGCGTTCTGTGTCAGGTGTAGGTGTAATAACTTATGGTAAAAGTTTTTGTAATATCTCGAATATCAAAGTCCATTGACTATGGCTTTTGAAACTTTGCACACACCTTGTTTTACCATCTTTACCCCAAAAACATGTAGACAGGAGGAGAATAAAAACTGATTCAAGCATTTTGAACAAAAATTTATGCCCTTTTTTCAAACTTAGGAATTTACGTTAAGTTTTTGTAATACCTCCCAAATATTTTTTTAGACTTTAGATTTTTATGTTATTTAATTAAAGTTTCTGTGCATACCACCTCAGATTTTTTCATATACTATTGACATCTGG